TAAATTACTAGTGAGGTAATTCAGCCTCCAATCTTATACACGATGACGTAGTTCCACCATTTCCTATTTGTGGAGTGAGTTCAAGTTCAAATGAGAGTCTAGAAGAGCATTAATAGACTTTCATCATACTTACCTTTAAATTTCTATCTAAATCATAATAGGGTTTTAGCTCAAATTTAGAGTTTTTGCGGGTTTCCTTATGATATTTGTAATAATTCAAAGTAAATATCCAACCTAGTTCAAAATTAAATATGTATATGAATGCAAGAAAAAGAAATTGCATAAAGTTAAATATTTTGGTAAAAATATTTTTTAATATTTTTTGTTATCTTTAATATAATTTAATATTTTACCTAAATTCTTCTAGTAATAATTTAAACTAACACTAATTAATCAATATTAACATACTTATACATTTAACACATAATTAATCAATTAAGCTATCATAATTATGAAGGATCATGCATCATATGAAGGTGCGGAATAAATAAAAAAAATTACGTCCATCTAGGGTTCTCAAGATCATGTCGTTGAATTAATCAATTATACATACATGAATAAAATAATAGTGAGGATTACCTCTTGTAATGCGGAATTAACCTTTACGGAATGGAGTTTTTCAAGTGTCTAGCCTCTACCGATAATCCACGCGAGCTCAAACATCCACGCAATAAGCAATCGAAACTATTGAGTGCTAGCTTCACCTTTTTTTATTAGTTTATTTTTCTTTAGAAATAAATTTAGGGTTTTATGCAACAATCCTAGAAAGAAGAAAAAGGTGACGAGTTAGGTAGAGAAAACTCTTTTCTCTTTTTCTTTATGTGTGGCATGTTTTTTCTTTTCTAGGTTCTCTATATTGCCGCCTCTCTCACCTCTATTTATATAGGGGTGCGACCACTTCTCCTTATAAGCCAATGAGATGTTGCCTAGGTAGGCTTTCTCTAACTTTATCTTTATAAATCGTGAGTCTTATCTAATAGAACTCAAGTTTATCCTTCCACCAAAATATCTTACGAGTTTTTAATTCGAGCTATTGGCCTAAACTCTTTTGGCCTAATTAATTTTCAATTAATTTGGACCATTCAAAAAAATTAGGTCAAGTATTTTTGTGCAGGTCCACATTAGGAAATAATTTTTAAACTAACCTTAAACTTAAATTAGGAAACTAATTTTCTTTTTAGGTAATTGTCTTCTAAATTTGAAACTGAATTTCAAATTAGAAAACTGATTTCTAAAGTAGAAAACTAACTTTCCAAAATAGGAAACTTTCCATTTTAGTAAACCTTTTCTAAAATAGTAAACATTTCAAAACAAGTAAACCTTTTCCAAATCTTTGCTTCTCTTTTATTGTGTGAATATTTAAACTTATGCGTATGACTCATAGGCTCCTAGATATGTTAGTAATTTATCAAGAATAAAAGACACCACTTTTATCTATTGATATATAAATTAAAATTGGTCTCTAGCAAGGTGTCATGACTACCCAATTCTCTAAGAGGATTAATTAATTTACGATTACCTTTCACGAGTATGGTTATCATATAATTCAATCCTCATATCAATTTATCATAGTGTGATCTCGAACTTAGTTTATAGCCTATTCGATTATGATCACACAAGTTTTTTTTCGATTTCTAAATATCTTAGCTCTAAAGTAAACCAAGCTATGCTCTATTGGTATACTCTCACCGTGGTTAGAAATTCCTTGAGTAGACATTCATCAAAGTGCAATATGATAAATCATTTAATATATAAGGAATGACATGTCCTATCTCGATCATCCACATATCTTTATGTGATTTTTAGTGCATTCAACAAATTGCCCACATATAGCTATTGATCGAGCCCATCAAAACGAGTGTCAAACTACACCAATCCTCTAATAAGATAATCGTGATGACTTCAAGTCAAATGACTAGTTATACCCTTCTCGTATAAGATTTTCATAGACTAAAACAAATGGGTTCTCATGGTAAATTATGTCTAATGATATATTCTCTAACATTAATCACCTAAGTGCTTACTTTGGCATCACTATGCAAATTTATGTGAGATCTCTTACCGTTGTCTTATAGTATGAGCATAACACTTACAAGTTATATCGCATATAGTTAACGTCCATTCTTGACAATGTTATAATTTGAGATATTTAATGATATCATTTAAATCCATCAATGTTCATCTCACATCAATTGATCAATCGTTAATGCAATGTTTATCATATAGACTTCTATCTAATTCTATCAAATTACAAATAACAAAAAGTAGTAGAAAGATTTCTTTTATTATATTAAAATGCAATGTAAGAATACATCAAACCATCCAAGCAAGGTTAGATCAACTCGATTAATCATTAATGCAATGCATATCATATGCACTTTTATCTAATTCTATCAAATTATAAATAACAAGAATTAATAGAAATACTTATTTTATTAATACTAAAATGCAATGTTACAATACATCAAACCATCTAAATAAAGTTAGATCTTGAGCACATACACTAACAAATTATCACTAATTTGAATTAACTAATTAAATTGATAAATTCAAATTAACATAATTAATATAAATCTAATTAATCAAGTAACAACTAATTTAAATTAACCCTAAATTTAATTTAAATTAACATAATACAATTCACCATAATAAATTTGACTTAAGTAATCAACTAAGAACTATTTTAAATTAACCCTAAATTTAACCTAATTAACCCTAATTTAAATTCAATTTAGCTTAAAAAAATTCACCCAAATTAAATTAACCTAATTAATCAATTCATAACTAATTTATATTAAACCTAACTAAAAATGAATCAAAATTAACCTAATTAATTTAATAATAAATTGAACTAAATCTAATAAAATTAACCATATTTAAATTAATTGTAATTCAAACCTAATTAAAATTTAAATATCAATTAATTAACCAATTGGACTACAATTAATATTAAAAATCAACCAATGAATGAAAATAACCCTAATTAATTTAACCTTAAATTAAATTAACTTAATTAAATTAATCCTAATTCAAACATGAATTAAATTTTAAAATAACAAATAAAAAACATAGCAAAATTAACCTAACAACTAACAAAAATAATTAACAAAATAATAAATTAACAAAATTTTTACCTAACAATTAATCAATCAATTTATCTAAATTACCCCGACAATTACAAAAAATTTAACCAAACACTAACAATTAACAAAATTAAACTAAAAATTAACAAATACAATATTTTAATTAACAAAATTAATCAAATTAACAAAGACAGAGAGAGAGAGAGAGAGAGAGAGAACTAACCAAAGAAGAGGAGGGAGACGAGTAGTTTCAACATGGTTTTTAGGGAGAGAAGGGCGCCTCATCGGAATGAGTGGGCGGGGGAGGGAGTGAGGTGGCGTTGGGCGTTGGTTGGGGCTGTTGGGGGCGGTTTCGGGAGGAAGGAGACGAGGAGGAGAGGCAAGGGAGAAAATTTGAGGGAAAAGAAAGGGGTTGGAACTTTTATAGATTTAGGATCGGCGACGGATGTGATTTCATTGCTAAATAGCGACGAAAATAAGTATCCATTGATAATTTGAAATTTAAACTAGTGTCCAATTGCTTGAACTTTTCAGAAATTTGAAAAATTAGCGACGAAACACATTCGGTTGCTAATTAGTGATCACACGATTGTTTTAGCAACAAAATGGTAATTTGTTGTTAAATTCCCTCGCTAATCTATTGTAATTTTATCGGTGACATAGCTTAGCGATGAAATTAGTTCCGTCACTAATTTTTCATTGCAAATCCATCGTTGACCCATCATAAATTATTGTATTTTTAATTTCATCGTTATTCGGTCATTATTCAATAGCTAATTAACGATGAAATATAATCCATCACTAATTCGTTGTTTTTTTTGTTGTGGACAAGGATAGGAACTTCTGTATCCAATAGGATTCTAGAAAAGCTCAAATTGCCATCAAATGAATGGATAAAAAGAGTTGAGCGCAGGTTAATGTCTAAATCTAAGTCACCATGTAATTTTCTTGAAGATCATCCACTTGGTAGAAGGAAGAAGGAAAGAGATACGTACCTACTAAGAAGAATGGCCATAAAATGACGGAATTGATAGGGTGCTTGGGTCATTACGAAGTGTTGAAGTGAGAAAATCAAAGTAAACAAAGCAAAAATTGATCAAGAAAGAATAAACAAATTAGAGAGCAAAGAGAAGGAAGAAAGAAAACGAAAGATATATGAGAATTGAAAAATATAAAGGAAACAGGAGGTGTAATTATGAAGATAGGAAGAAAAGAAAGAAACCGTTGTTTGTTCATCCAAAAACACCACAAACAGCACTTGGACAAGACGCGCCTCAGCAAGAGAATTTAACGAACAATGTCATTAGAGGACTAATGGTATAGGTATATACCCTTCTGGCCCTCTCCTATTAAAAGATATTATTGAGTGATTGGGTTGGTTGTCGATTTTTTATTTGGGGTTAATTATTGTTCTTTAACTCACTGTGGAAGAAGAATACGTTTTGAAGATTTCAGGTTGCTGTTTTTAGCAAGGATTCTAATTTTGCTTTAATTCGAGTATTGAAGATGATAGTGCGAAGATAGTCAGTTATTTGTTTTTCTATTTTCCCTTGTTGCAATTTTACAGGGGTTAATCTTTTTTTTTTTTTCCAGTCTTTAGAGGGGTAATAATGTAGAATTGTGAAAATTTGGGTTTTTAGGTACGAACGGTAGTTGCGGTATTTTGGAAAAAAACAAATGACAACAGATATTTTGATGATTTAACAGTCAATAACGGTAAAGGGACTATATTATTGTTTTCCAAACTACAGGACCTAACATAATTCGTCGTTAGACAACAGGGACTAAGTAATAAATTACTCAAATTTAAAGGTTTGACATCATGCATATTTGGCTGCAAAAGTCTTGGCAACTCCAGTTATATAGTTCTCCCTCAACGTTAAAATATTAACAAATTAGAATCTTGAAGAATCGATCATGGCTACAGAAGATTCTTCAATTCGCTCGCTTGAATACACACCGACATGGGCACTTGCCACAGTTTGCTTGGTTTTCATCTCCGTTTCAATTTTCCTAGAGCACATTTTTCATCTCCTCACAAACGTAAGCACATATTCTCTGCAATTTGATTATTTTGATATGGTCGGGTATATATGTATCAAGCTAGCTAATATAAAAAAGCGATACAGTGGCTTAAGAGAAATCGAAGAATTGCTTTGAGTGATGCAGTGGACAAGCTCAAATCAGGTTTGTAAAACAAGATTCTTCTCTATATTATAATATTTAGCATACATAGCTCCTTAATTATGTTGGGTATCCACTTAATTAACTAATTATTTGAAGGTATTTGTTACAGAGTTGATGTTGTTAGGATTCATGTCATTGATGTTGGCAGTGACTCAAAAACCTATATCTAAAATCTGCATACCAGCCAATCTTGCAGATTCCATGCTTCCTTGTCGTAAAGACGTTGCGTCCAAACTCACTGCAGTACAAAATTATGGAAACTTTGCCAGTAATTTTGTTGGGAATTTGCCTTTAGAGAATGGTCTACGAGGTGATATTTTATGGCGACGAGATAGGAGATTGTTAGCAGATGACGAGGAGGGTGCAATTTCTGATGATCCTTGTAGTTCAAAAGTATGCTACTACTGCAATTTATTTTCTTTCTTTAATTGCCTGAGTCTTAGTTTGATATCTTTGGTTAGTTCTGTTCATATAACCTAATTATCAAGAATTTCAGGGAAAGGTTTCTTTAATATCAGAAGATGGGATCCAGCAGCTTCACAAATTCATTTTCGTGCTAGCAGTTATACAGATTGTGTACAGTATTCTAACCATGGCTTTGGGCTGGACCAAGGTACGTAAGAAGCTCTTTTTCACACCAGATTGAATGTTCTTCTTGGTCACCATTCAAAATTAATTTGTTTTTGCAACATTATTTATCATAGATGAAGCGGTGGAAAGCTTGGGAGAAAGAAACTCGTACAACCGAATACGAAGTTGCAAATGGTATGTGGTAATGCATAATTAATTACCTTTTTAGGGTTTTTTTTTCTTCCTTCAATCTTTTATAGATGATAATCAACGTCAGAACTAATTAATTAAATACATGCTTAACATGCCGAACAAATAGATAAATAAATAAATACATGGTTGTTGGTCAAAGAAAAATGAAAGCCATGTACAATATTATGTGATCCCAAAATGTCGGATACTTCAGTTTCCAATAATTAAAATTTTAAATTTTTATTAAAAAAATAATCACAGGTTAATTCTTAAAAAAGTGGAGTACTGAAATTAAAAATAAAAATAAGTTATTTTATTCTCTTTCTCATTGTGTATTCTAAAACCCTTTAGTTCTACCAATTACCCAAAAAAAAAGAGAGAGAGAGAGAGTTTTCAGTAATTGCAAGGTTCTTTGGGCTTGCCTGTATACTCGTGGAAACACATCAGAATCATCGTCACCTTGAAATTTAAACGATTGAGAAAATGGAAAAATGGGAACATGATCATCATAGTAGATTGAAGAAAGGGTGTTAATTTATGTTATTGACTCTTGGTTTGGAAACAGATCAATGTCAATGTTTTGTTCTTTTCACGTGACCGCAAGTAAACTGGAGCGCACGTGTTTTATTGTAATGGTTTTGATTTTGTTTCTTCATTTACGCATGCACCAGTAGCCTTGAAAATGGCCTTAATTAGTCTACGCTTGACCAAGACTATTAGTTCAAGTGGTACAAAATATTGCCGGATTTTTAAGGTCGTTGAAGAAAAGAAACGCAATGACCTTAATTTTATGCATGCATGGCCACTTGGATGTTTCTTGATATGATGCGTCAAACATTAATAAATAAATAAATAAAATTAGTTTATACGAGAGTAAATTTTTTTTCGAACGATATTAAAAATACTTTATTTACGTTAATTTTATGCATTCGATGACTAAGGTTTAAATTTAAGAAGTTAAAAAATAGAACAAACATGCTTAACTATTAGACAAATATCTTGAGATTAAAGAAAAAAATTGACAACCAATGAAACTGTTAGTTGATTTTATTTATTACAAGTTTCACCCAAAATATATATATATATATATATATCAGTTAAACCAGAATTCCAAAATCCAAACCACTTATATTATTGTGAATCAGTTAATTTAATGAAATACGATGATTTATAATATTAGGAGTAATTAGAATATTTAAGAGAATATTGTAAATGTTTTTTGGTAAATATTTAAGAGATCATTTTTACGCTATAAATATTGATTGTAAAATTGTATTTGAATCTTTTCAGTTAGAAAGTGATATAAAACCATTAAAACACTTATACTAACGACTATCCGATTTGATGAACATATTAGTTTTACTTTGGATAGTCGAAGAGATTAATTTTAATGATCTTGTTTATTGATGATAATTAGATCCAAATCGATTTAGACTTACCAGACAAACAACATTCGGAAGACGCCACATGCATACATGCACAAACACATCGGCGCTTTTATGGATTGTGAGTATACTTATTTTTCTTAATTATTATTATTGTCATTATTTGCATGTATATATAAGAACAAAGTGTTCGTGATGATTGGATGAGCTATCTAATTGAAGACTGATCAATTTGGATGAACAGAAATGTTTTTTCAGACAGTTTTTTCATTCAGTACCAAAAGTGGATTATGTCACCTTGAGACATGGTTTTATCTCGGTAATGATCTTTCAACTACATTAATCTTGATCAAACCAAACCATTTTTCTCCATATTTACTAATGTATGGTTATGTATGCACTTTAAGGCTCATTTGTCAACCAGGAACGACAACAATTTCAATTTCCAAAAATATATACAGCGATCCTTAGAGGAAGATTTCAAGGTTGTTGTCAGCGTCAGGTTGTTGATTCTCTCACAAACTAGCTAACAACTAACTATTTTTTTATTTTTTTATTTATTTTACCTTCTCTAGATCTCAAAAAATATATATGCCTCTTTCTTGGCAGCCCTTTAATGTGGTTTTTGGTGGTTATTTTGTTGCTGGTGGACGTACATGGTAAATACGGTTTGCCTTTCGTCTTTCTGTATTGCTTAATTCTATTTTGAAATTATATATTTTTTCACACGCTTTTGTTTTTTTTTTTTATTGGGTGTTCAGGTTGGAATGTGTATCTCTGGGTGTCCTATGTTCCACTCTTGGTAAGTGCATATATTTTAACATGGTTATTTCATTATGACGGCAAAAGTATGTTGCCATTCATCTGTGCTCTCAAACAGAAATATTTGTCTTCTAATTTTTCTACCAAGTTTTACAACAGCTGACTTAGTGATCTTGTAGATTGTGCTGGTCCTGGGAACCAAACTTGAAGTCATTGTGTCAAAAATGGCTCTCCGAATCAATGATCAAAACGGTGTGAGCAGAGGAACCCCTCATGTTCAACCAAATGATAATCTCTTTTGGTTCGGTAACCCAAGATTTGTTCTCGTTCTTATCCATTACACTCTATTTGTGGTAATCATTACTCCTCTTTATAAACTAGGTAGCTAGATCAAAGAGAAAACAAAATAAGACATTAATTTAGTTTAAATCAATGCTTTTGGAAATGGAACTAATACATGTTACTCGATCTGCAGAATGCATATGAGTTTGCCTTCTTCATTTGGGTTACAGTAAGTACTCTTTCTCGTTTTCTTGTGATGTAATTTATTAATAACATTTTCATATCATCACGGTTTGATCTTTTCTTCAGATACAGTTTGGGCTTGATTCATGCTACCATGAACACACTGCATTTATTGTCACTAGGGTTGTGTTAGCGTAAGGACTCCCTTGCTTTGACCAATTTTATATATGTATATATGATCAACAGTTGGGTCTCTTTAATTAATTGTTGGTGCTCTAAAAATTTCCACTCAGGATCACTGTTCAAGTCATATGCAGTTATATCACCCTTCCCCTCTATGCACTTGTAACACAGGTAATTTAATTGTAATTAAGGATTCCAAAGTTGTTCTTACAACTTATATACATCCCCAATTACCAGCAATATATAACAATCCTTGTTTTTGTTCTTTTTCCCTGAAATGAATCTCAAAAATATAAATATGATGATGGATTTTGTTTTTATGTTACTGTACTAGATGGGGTCTCAATTCAGGAGTAAGGTACTAGAAGAGCAAGTGGCTAAAATTATAAAGCAATGGCATGCTGAGGTGAGGGAAAGAAGGAAGAAGCGAGATCAATAGTCTTCACTTTCTCCGCGGACTACTTTGTGCACTGATGTACGGTGCATCAAAACGGGCAGTCCCATCGAATCACCAAGACCAACAATATTACAAGGAATCACTCTCATCCAACGAAGAAGAAATTGGTAAAGTACAAGAGAACATAAGGAAAAACGAGGTTGGCTTTAAACGAAAAGAACGAACAAGGCGTAGATCATATACAAAAAGCGTGCCGTTTAAGGAGAAAATTCAGCAATATATGTATCATTAAGGATCAAGGAAATATGAGCATAGCAACACAGTTAGTTATTGAACTGGTAGAAAGACTGTATACTATGAAAACTTGTATAGGGTTATCATAACCCAGTTGTACATTCTTAATGTTACCTGTAATATGATAGGGTTGTTGTATAAGGATATGATAGTAGGTTCATCTCAAACTTTATTATTTTCCTTTGTTTAGTTTATAAGAATAATTAATGGTTACTTTATATATATATATATATATATATATATATATATATATATATATATATGATTCATGAATAAAATTATCATAGGATTTCTATCCATCTCATATTCTAACTTGGAGTCAGAGCCTTTAAATGGTGTCTCCTTCGACTCTCAAAACTCAAAAAAAAAAAAATTCTTCTAAGTCTCTTTCAACTTCAAGGTTTCAATTTCCCAACTTCTTTTCCTCATGCTCAACTTATGTTTTCTAGTAAATCAAAACTCTCAAATTTCTTGACCAGGAAACTAAATCCATGTTAAAATTCAAACCCTTCACAATTAAGTAAAAAATATTCTCCTCTTTGGAAAATTCTTCTCTAGAATTTTTTCAAGTCATCAAGAATTGTTAATCATTAAAAATTCTTAGTCATTGAGTATTTATCAAATGATATTCAAAGAAAGTGATCAACTTTTTGTGGCTTCTAGTTAATTTTAAATATTTCAAATGAGGAGATTAAGTTTGTCTATAAATATGAACCTTATATTTGTAATGTATAGATAAAATTAGAGAAAACAAGAACTATTGAAAAACAAGCATTTAGCGATGATATAAAGCGTTGCTAAAAATAGAAAAACCTAATTGACGGTTTAAAACTTTCCGAAAAAACCTTCTCTCTAAATTAGTAACGGTTGTTTAGAAGGTCGCAAATTTATGATTTTACAAAACTCGTCGTTAAATCCATCAATATTTAGTGACATATTAGCTATCGTTTTTTAAAACCATCGTTAAATATGGTCAAATTTTGTATCAAATTTAACAACAATTTTTAAACCGTCGTTAAGTTTTTTTAAAAAAAAATTTTAATTTCTATTTTTAATTTTTTGATTTTATATATTTTCAGTTAATTAAGTTTATTTGTTGGTTTTTAAATACTTCATTTTCCGTAAACTTCAAAAGAATCGACGAGCCGATACTTAAAAGATCGATCGATGCACCTATTTGCGATCCGCAAAATGAATGAGAAAACATAAAAAACAATTTCTCAAGAAAAAGTTTCGGGCCGAATCTTTCACAAATAGGTTAAAAGCATCATGGAAATATCTATTTAAATACTAAAGCATCCGATGAGTTAAAAGTAATTGAACTCGTGAAAGAAAATCCTGTGAGTATCAAACAAAGTCCATACTCACCTCCAAGTGGGGGAAAAGAGGTTTTGAAAAACCGACCAACAAATAAATGTTAGCATTGGAATAGAATGCCTTAAAAACATTAAAAAAGAGTGCGGGAATGAAGGCATGAGGAGTGTCATATCCCCAAATTTTACTCATTTACTTTATTTTTTTTATTATTCATTCTCTTTTTTTGTAAAAATCAAAACAAACAAAAAATAATAATAATATTTTCTTTTATTTAGAATTCGAACAAAATTACAAAAAAAAAGGATAAAAATGAAAAAATACAAAAAAAAAAAAGAGAGAAGAGATGGAGGGACAGCTTCCCTCCATTCCCTTTACAATTTTTCAATATTTCCCAGCTACACCGGACAATTCCCCAAATCTGTTTTTCTACTCAAGCCGTAAACCCATCCCCGCAATTCCCGCAGCCCCTCCAAGTCAACAATTCCAACGCCCCAATTCCCGTAATCCCCCATCCCCGCAATTCCCGCAGCCTCACCATGCTACAAATCGCAGCTTGCAAAGACAGCCTCCTCCAAGTCAATAATTTCTGCAGTCTTACCATGCCGCCCCACTCCTCCCAAGTCAACAATAAGCAATGCCCCTATCTCTAGACAACTTCCCCATATCCAACAATCTCCACTACAATCCCCCAATTCCCGCAGCCTCACCCAACTTCCCCTAATTCCTCGCCATGCTGCAAGTCGGCAAAGAATCGCCGACCTCCTTTAAAGCCCTCAACCTCACCCTCTCGCCGAGGGGAGCTGAAGCCAAAAACTTGCTCCCGCACATATTCTCACCTCCAAAACAATATCAAGCTAGCCACCCTATTGCTGAAATTTTCAGCAGCTCCCTCATCACCCAAAGTTAACCTCTAAGCACCCTCTATCGTTGTAAATTTCGCGAAGATCACCCTACAACCTCCCTTACTTCCAGCAGCTTCACCACCGCCACCACACACAAAACCAATCCCATCCAACCCCCACTTGACAAACTTGTAGAAAATCCCCCACCATCATAGTGGGGGAACCAACCAAGCATTCAAAACACACACACACACATATATATATAAACGAAAAAAAAAAAAAAACACAAACAATCAAAAATTAAGGGAGCTTGAAATTCAAAGCAAAATCAACAAAAAGGAAACTGGCAAGCAATAAAAATCCAAAAAAAGAGAAAAAAAGTTACCTCTCGAAGCATCAATCCACATTCATCTCCATCCTCTTAGGTAATCAATCCAATTTTGCTTTGAATTCGGATTTCTTTTGATTGTTAATTTAGGCTAGTCCCGAATTTTGGGAATTTTTGAAATTGACTTGAAATCAAGGTTGGTAAGGACGAATTAAACTCAATTGGAGTTTCAATTTAGTGGTTTAAACCCCAAATTGAAGCCGAATTGATTTCAACTCGGCTTTAGGGTTTTTTTTTTTTTTTTTGAAAACGAAATTGATTTGGGGGTTTTAGATAAAATTGAGTTCTAAAGTGTGAATTGACTTGAAATCAAGTCAATTAGGTCTAATTGAAAGAAAATTTGGAAGAAAAATCAAAACTCGTGTTCGGCCAATTGGGGATTTTGTTTTAAAAAATTTATTTCGGGGGTTTTTTTTTTTTTTTTGATCGAGCAAGGAAAAGAAGGAAAGAAAGGTGAAGAGAAAGAAAGAAAAGGGCAAAATTAAGCTGCCATGGATGAACCTCCATTGGTTCATCCATGGCGATAGCATCGTTTTTCTTAAAAAAAAAAAAAGAGAGAGAACGGTAAAGGGGAAGAAGAAGAATAAGAAAGAGAGGAAGAAAAGAAGAAAGAGAAAGAAGAAAAAAGGGGGGCGAGGGACGAACCAGTTAGGAGGTTGGATTCGGTCGGAGAGGGAAGAAGAAGAAGAAAGAAAAAGAAAGGAAAAAGAGAGAAGGAAAAAACGGGAAAGAGAAAGATGAAGGAAAATGAAAAAATGGGTTTTGATCCAAAATTTTAAAAGCCTAGATTTGGGTTATGTTTTTGGGCCAAAAAACTTAGTTTTTATTTTAAGTGAGCCCAAACTCACTTGAGATGGGGTTGGATTGACCAGCCCGAAATGTCGCATTTGGGTGGTCCGGACAGATCCGCCCAAAAAAAAAAAAAGAGTAAAATTTTTTTATGGATTTGTTATTTCATTTTAAAGTTAGCTATTGATTTTTTTAATTATTTTAATTATTGTATTTTTTTAATCTGGAGTTTATTTTATTCATGTTTGTTAATTTATGTTAATTTAGAATTTAATATTTTAAATTATTATTAATTTTTTCTCCGGCACACCGGCTTGTATCGAGACTCAAAAAGCGGATCCGATGTTTGAACCGACGTGTCTCTCGACGGAAGGGGTCCGACGATCGTTTCAATACGATGCCACGCTCAAAAATAAAAAACTTAATTTGACTTGAAAATATTGGAGTCTCAAAAATTGAAAAATAATTTGGCAAAAATAAAATATTTTTAGAGATAAATTAGGACTAAGCTAGATGTGGTACCTTTCTTAGGAAAGTGGCACTTTTGGGTGATTAATTATCTTCCCATAAGCGTAACCGACTCCTTACTATAGTAATCTCCGAACCAAGTGCCAATTTTAGGTTTCTAGTTCCTTCAATACTAGGTGGCGACTCCAAACTCGCAAATGGTTTTATAAATAAAATAAAAAAATCCGATACATGAGAGCGGTATCTATGTTTTTTTTTTTTTCGAGGAGTCCCGTCCGACGTCGGCAGCGACGAGGAGCTACAAAATGACTAGTAATAAACTCGAAAATGGCTTCTTTATACATAGTAGTATAAACCCTACAATGCTTCTATCGCATCTTCCAATCTTTAGATAAATTCATGGTAAAGACAGAAATATACTCAAAGTCCTAATCAAGTATTAGAGGCGGTAAGTTTGAATCACCCGAAATTCAATAACTCGCGTAATAACTATTATGCCTTAGGGATACCTAGTGAAAACAATAAGGTGTATGTTGCCCGTGCCGTCCTCTCCCAGCTCCATCCTCGTCCTATCTCGCTAATTTGGAGACCCACGCCGCATAGCTCCCCGATTCACATAGGCTCCAATCACCTGCAGGACTTATGCTCGCCCGGTTCCCATAAGCACCTTGCATTCCATGACCCGTACTAGGTACAACACCCCGAGTCACAGACCCCAGTAGGCCCCAAAGTCCAAGCAAATTGTTTTAAATTTTTTAAAACGATTAAAGTATTTAAATACCAACAAATAAAGTTTATTTGATTACCAACTAAATCAATATTATTTAACACATAATTAAATAAACTAACACTTAAATAATTATTTTAACAAGTAATTAAATTAATTAACAACTAACAAATTAACTATAAAAACAAAATAAATTAAACTACTAACAATTAACAAATAATTTATTAAATAATAACAATTAACAAATATATTATTAAAAAAATATAAAATTATTGAAATAAATGAAAAAAAAAACTTAATGAGTTACCAATTACACAAATGGATGAGTAAAGAAGGAGGAGTTACCGCCAAAGGAGGAGCTACTATCGTTGCACTATTCACGAAGAAGATGAGGGAAGGGAGGAGGAGAAGGAAATGAGAGAAAAAAGAAGAAAAGGGAGGAAAAGGGAAGAGATGGAGGGGAAGAAGAAAAGAAGAGAGAAGGGGAGCTTGGATGGAGTTGTTGACATGGATGGAGGGGAAATAGGGAGCTTGGATCTACTAGAAAGAAGAAGAAGAAGGGTAAAGACGAAAAAAATGAGAAAAAAATTTCGGAATTTAGGGATTCTAATTTTTAACAATGGTTTATAACCATCGTTAAACATTATTTTTTAAGAAAAATTCGTTGCCTCCCAACGGTAACAAATTAGCAACGATTTCTGAAAATTGTTGGTAATTTCGATGTTTAACAATGGTTTTAAGCAAAAAAACCATTGCTAAACCCAATATTTTCATGTTTTTTAAGTGACAATTTTTAAAAAAATGTTGCTCAAATCACTAGAAAAAAGGGTATTTAGCGATTGTTTCTATCAAAATCGTCACAAAAAACCTATATTTTAGAATTAGCGATGGCTTTTTTAAAACCCTTGCTGAAGCCCGAAACATTTAGATTTTTAGCTATAATTTAGTGTAATTCATCACAAAAAATAGCCTATTTTGATCGAATCGATGACGATTTCTAAATCGTCCTTAAAAACCAACATATGTCTTAAATATAGTTAAGGATTGCTAAAATCATCGCTAAATCATGGTTTTAGCAATGGGTTTAAAGCCTATAGCTAAAAGTCATTTTTTTGGTAATGAAGAGAGAGCAAGAGTACAAGTAGCTATATACTAGCAGTAGCTAGGAAGAGAGAAATAGAGATTAATCTTTTGAGAGAAGATATTTTATATGTAAGGTTTATTTTGTAATCAATACATTATCAATATGTTGTTGTTTGAGTGTTATTTGTGAGCCTATTACACTTCTAAAAATGATATCGGAGCGTGGTTCGTGTCTACATTTCAAGTGAGGAGATGACCTATATGATTCAACCTCGGATCTCAAAATTAACTAAGATGAATTATGGAAACTATAGTATCCGGATCAAGGTTCTTCTTGATTCATAAGATTTATGAGAGATTTTTTAAGAAGGCTATAATAAGCCTAAAGATGCTACTCCGAAGCATCTTTGGAAAAAGCAAAAAAGACAACACTTAAAGAATCATACAAAAAGGACAAGAAGGCTTTATTTTTTATTTTTTAAGTTAATGAATCAACCTCTAAGAAAATATTAGATGTGAAGACATCAAAGGAGGCGAGGAGATTCTGCAAAAATCTCTTCAAGGAGTTAAAAAAAAGCCAAAAAGATACAACTCCAATAACTTAAAGTTGAATTTTAGAAATAAAAAATACAGAATTCTAAAAGATCAATGATTACATTGCTTATCTAAAAATAGTGGCGAATAATATGAAAAGAAATGAACTCTTGATGATGTTAGGGTGATGGAAAAACTCCTACATTCGCCGACAATGAAATTTGATGACGTCGTCATCGTTATTGAAGAATCAAAAGATTTTTCATAGATTTCTATTGACAAGCTTGTAGGTTCATTTCAAGCTCACGAGCAGAGATGAACTAGAATAAAAATACTAATGATTTGGAACAAGCTTTGCAAAGCAAGTTATATATTGGTGATAATTAAGCTATGAGCGGCTATGAATGAGGTAGATGAAATCGAGGTAGCTATAAACGCGGACATGGTGGACGAGGATGTGGTAGAACCTCTTTTGAAAGAGGCTAAACAAATGAAGGCCATCAAATATATGGTTGTGGTCGAGGATCCAAAAACTGAAAAAAAGGCAAATTTCAATAATGAGGTGATAAATCACAATTACAATGTTATAATTGTAACAAGTATGGCCATTTCAATTACAAATGTAGTTTAGCTTCTAAGATGGAGGAAATAAATCATTTTACTATAGTAGGAGATAAAGAAGTTGAATCAACTATTTTTCTAACTTAGAGAGGAAATAAAGAGTGGAAGAAAAATATTTGATATCTCGACATTGGTGCCAATAACCACATGAGTGGTTGAAAAGAGTTATATATAGATTTGGATGAGACCACCTAAGGAGAATTTACTTTCAGTGACCCATCAAAGATTTCAATTAAAGGCAAAGGTAAACTTATGATTACCTTAAAAATAAAGATAATAAGTATATGATGTTTATTATGTACCTACTTGGAAAAGCAATATCATCGACCTTCCCAACTCTTAGAAATGGGTATGACATATATCTAAAGGATCACTCTCTCGTCATCAACGAAGTGAAGAATTAATTGCTAAAGTTGATATGGCAAAGAATCGTCTTTTCACACTTGATATTCATACGTAAGTGCTAAAGTGCATGAAGTCTATCATTAAAGATGAATCATAGTTATGGCATTTAGTGGTTCAATCATCTTACATTTATCGACTCGAAGTTATTATCAAGAGCAAAAATGGTTAATGGCCTTTCAAAAATTAATCAACCAGATCAACTATGTGAAGCCTAGATTAAAGAGAAACAACATAGACAAAGTTTTGAAGTTAGAAAATCATCGAGAGCTCGAAGGCATTTAGAGATTGTTCACTCAAATATAGCTGGTCTATTTAATATACTATCACTTGGTAGAAACAAGTATTATCTTACTTTTGTTGATGATTTTAGTAGAAACATCCGGGTGTATATTATTAAAAAAAAATCAAAAGCCCTTGATAAATTTGAGTTCAAAGCAATATCAAAAAAATAAAGTGGATAGTATTTGAAGATACTTAGATCCGATAGAGGAGACGAGTACACCTCAAAGTTGTTTGACGGTTTTTGTAAAAAAAAAAATAATGGAATTATTCATCAGCTGATAGTCTCATATACACCACAACAAAATGGCATTGTAGAAAGAAAGAATCACATAATTCTTGATATGGCAAGGAGCATGGTGAAAGAACAAGCACTAACCGAGAATCTTTTAGGTCGAAGTCGTTTTATGTGCTCGTTTATTTACTAAATCAAAGTCCGACAAAAAAGTGTAAAATTCAAAACACCAAATGAAGCATGGAGTGGTAGCAAACTGAAAATTAGACATCTCAAGATTTTTAGATGCATTGTATATGCCTATATTCCCGAGCGTAAAAAAAGAAGTTAGATGACAAAGATTACAAGAGATGAAGCAAAGAAGATAAAGAAGTTCAAAGAGTATTTTTTTAATGATGACAATGATGATGACATAAATGAACAAAGTGATGATCGAATCCTCCAAAAATTCCTACTTCAACAACTCCTAAATCGACGCCATCAACATCATCAAGCAGATAGCAGTAGAAGCACAATTCGGGGGAGCACCTATAAAAATCCAAAGTCTAAATGACAGCTTATGATTCCATAAAACTTGTACGTACAACATTCATTTACTAATTATTTGTTTAATAACAAAGTGTGATCCATTAACATACGAAGAGGCTACTAAAGATGAGAAATGGGAGAAGGCTATGAATGAAAAAATTGTTACAATCAAAAGAAATGACACATAGAAATTAACTAGCCTTTTGAAAGAACACAAGACAATAGGAGTCAAATGGATGTATAAGACAAAGACTAACCAGAAGGAAAAATGAAAAAATACAAGAGAAGATTAGTCACAAAAAGCTATAAGAAGACATAAGAAATTGACTAGGAAGAATTGTTTGCTCTAGTTATAAGAATTGATATTATTAGACTTCTCATAGTGATCGCAACTCAACATAAATAGAAAATTTTTCGGATGGTTATGAAATCAACATTTTTAAATGGATACCTGAAGAAAAAGTTTACATCAAGCAACCACTAGGATATATTAAAAAAGATAAGGAAGACAAAGTCTATTGACTAAAAAAAGCCTTGTATGGATTAAAGAGAGCTCGCGAGCTCGAAACACAAGAATAGATAAGTACTTCTAAAATAATGATTTTGTAAAAAGTTCGTATGAGCATGCCTTATACATGAAGAAAAATCAAGATGGTGATATAATAAATTTAGGTATGTTTAATGATTTTAAGAAAGTTATGACTATAGAGTTCAAAATGACAGATATTGGTGAAATGTCATACTTTCTTGGAATCGAGATAAAAAATGGAAGATGGAATATTTATGTCACAAAATAGGTATACAAAACAAATCTTAAACAAGTTTAGAATGAAGGATTGCATGCCAGTAGCTACACCAACGAAACAAGCATGAAATTAAAAATAGATTCGAATAGAGATATGGTAAACTTGACACTATTCAAGAGTTTGATTGAAAGCTCGAGGTATTTGACTTTCACACACCCGGACATTATATACGCAATTGGACCGAGCAATAGATATAAGGAGAAGCCAAAGTAAGATCACTTTATTATAGCAAAAAGAATTTTGAGATATGTCAAAAGTACAATAGATCATGATTTATTTTATACATATTCTTAAGATTTAAAGTTAATTGGTTACTCGAGTTAGTGATTATGGTGGAGATTTAGATGATCAAAAAAGCATTTCCGGATATGTATTTCATATTGGATCAATAATAATTTTGTGGTCATCAAAAAAGTAACAAACAATTACTCTCTCGACATGTATAGTGGAACATACAAATCATAACGGTATGTACATGTCAACCAATATGGCTAAAGAATACTTTGAGTGCATTATATCACACATAAAAATGTCTATAATAAATATACTATATGGCTTGCAAAAAATCAAGTCTCACATAGTCGAAGCAAACATATAGACATAAAATATCATTTTATTCAGGAGCAAATGAAAAGAAAAATTATGGAGTTAGTTCATTACGGAACGTAAGATCAACTTATAGATATTTTTATGAAGCTTTTGAAGACCAACGTATTCCACAAACTCAAAGGAAAGCTTGGCATGCGAAGTCGGATTTGAGGGGGTTTTAGAATTTAAACCCTTTATAATTAAGAAATAAATATTCTCATCTCTAAAATATTCTTCTCTATAATTTTCTTAAGCCATCAAGAATTCTTAGCTATTAAGAATTCTTAGTCACTAAGTTATCCTCCAAGTATGAGTCTTAGCAGATGAACAAGAGAGGATGGAGATGCCTCGAGTACCGTATGCATCGGTAGTGAGAAGTTTAATGTTCGCTATGATTTGTACAAGGCTAGACATTATGCATGTGGTGGAAGTGGTTAGTCAATATATGGAAAATCCTAGTAGAGAGCATTGAAATGCGATAAAGAGGATCCCGATATACATTCGGTGGACCTCGGATGTTGGATTATGTTATGAAGGATCGAATTTATTGTCGGTGGTTATGTTAATTCCGATTACGTAGGTGATATGGATAAAAACAAATCAACCATAGGTTATGTGTTTACACTTATTGACTGAGCTATAAGTTGGGTTTTAAAACTACAATCAATTATGGCTACGTCAACGAATGAAGTAGAATATGTAGTAGGCTATGCAAGCTAGTAAAGAAGCGATCTTGTTGAAAATGGTATTAGAAGAACTCAAGCACAAACAATAAAAGATTTCTCTATTTTGTGACAATTAGAGTGCCTTGCATCTTGTAAGGAATCCAACTTTTCATTCAAAGACAAAGCACATACGAGTTCAGTATCACTTCGTTCGCGAGAAAATGGTAGAATGAACTATGGATATGCGTAAAATTCATACCAAAGACAACCCGACAGATTTTATGACAAAGGCAATCAATGCTAATAAATTTATTTGGTGTCAATCCTCTTACGACTCGGTAAGGACATAATCAAGCATAGGAATGACAAGATAGAAAGAATAGTGTGAAGATCCGATTGACTTTCAATCAAATCTTTAAGTGGGAGATTATTGAAATAAAAAATGCTTTTCCGTGGACATTTTGTCCACGGAATTTGGAATCACAACTTGCATATGCAAGTTGTGGCAACTTGAATTCAAGTGGTGCAAGCAAGAGGGAGGTCCGTAAATAGGCCTCCCCACCTCATTCAAATATATCCCTCCATTCATCCCCAGCAAAAGAAAGAGAAAAACAAATAGAGAGAGATTAGTTCCTAGAAAAACATAAAGAGTGTTTTTCCTATTCTAAGAGATAAATTTATTGTTTTCTCCTTATATTATAGAAAAAGGTTATAACTCTTATTATTTCTCATAATGAAGTTCTTCTATCTTGTTTATGATTTTTCCTCTTAATTTGTTTAAGAGTTTTTCATGAGAAATCTGTATGTTCAATATTATTATTTTTGTCAAATTTATTAGTTGCGAATCATGTTCTATTCGGACAATAACACAACATATCTTAATTAAGGCAAATTTTTGCTTTAAAGCCATAACGTACGAAAGAGAAGGACATAGGGCAAATGGAAATAAAAATGTTCTCCAGCAGCCACTCTGACAGGTCCGTAGCTGTGGCATCTCTTGGTTGGGACATAACAGTCATTTCAGCCTGTAAAACACGTGGAATTAAGATAATCATGCTTCCTGACCACATCCTCCATGGTCCAAGGTTCCACTTCCACCACTTACTTTCCATATTCATTTGCTTACACTTATTCCTTCACCTTTTCACTGCCACCACATCCCATTAATGCCAATACCTACTTATTAGATATTGTCCGCTTTACAGCTAACTCTCTCTCTCTCTCTCTCTCTCTCTCTGAAATGGCAGCTGATCCTAGCTATTCACTATGTCTACTAGGAGTAATGGATCGTCTTTGGTTTCACGACATTATTTTGTTCTCAGAACCCGCTAGTGCCCCTAAAACCCTTAAACAACCACAGCTCGTGAGAACAGAATCACCTACTTGCCCATCATCAAGCACCACTCCTTCTGATGAAGAATTTTTATCATCTACTTCAGTACCTCTCTTAGAAGACGTGCAAATATCTCCTGCAGAATCACCTACAACCACTTTGCTGGTAGTGTGTATATATATTAAAACCCCGTATCCGTTTAATTAACAACGTAAGGCCTATATATATATACTTCCTTTTATTTTAACTTATGCATGCTTTCTTTTTTGTTAATGTGAAAAGGATGACTACAGCAATGAAGAAGAAGACGAGGAAGATAAGGATATTAACAAGAAAGAAAGGCTAAGAAGATTGAATCTTACTACAAGCAGAGCTCATTCACATCCTTCGTTACCATCAACTCAAAACCGTCCCAAAATTTTTAGACGTTCAGGATCATTGACGATCCTGCCCAAATCCATGAGCTGCAGGAGCTTGGGAGAGTTGGAACTTGAAGAAGTTAAAGGGTTCGTGGATCTTGGTTTCATATTCAAAAAAGAATACTTGAGTCCAAGAATGATGCGTGTAGTACCCGGCCTGCAAAGACTTGGACTGTTTTACAAACATCAACAGAATACAAATCTCAGAGACAGTGAGGAAGTAGCTGAAGATCATGATGGACTAATTAGAGAAGCAGAGGAAGACAAAGAGAATGGTATTATTAGACCATATTTATCAGAAGCTTGGCTAATAAAGAGACCGGATTCGCCGTTATTAAATCTACGGGTGCCAAGAGTATCTACAGCTGCTGACATGAAAAAACACCTGAAGTTCTGGGCCAGAACCGTTGCATCTGAAATTCAGCAAGAATCTTGAGAAATTATAGAGTTCTTTCCAGATGAGATCATAAGAGCTATAGTAGAAAACACTCTTATTCTACTAAGCAAATCGTTATAGAGAAAGATGAACAACTCATTAATTAGATTCTTTTCTAGTCCACCGACTGCTGCAACTGGAAAGAAATGAGCTTGTCGTATATATACTTACTTGATTGATATATAAATAAAAAGGAGTGCTGAAAATGTACCTTTTGGTTTTTAACTTGCAGTATATATATTACGATAGACGAAATCTAATACTGGTAATTTCTTCCTTCAAAGGTAGCGCTAGCTATACAGATATAGCAGATAAGGCATGCAATAAAAAAGAGGTATATGTGTTTGTTTATGAGGAAGTGAAAAGAAGTCCTACCATGATGAGGGTAAAAAGGAATTAATAGTGATCAGAAGATGGCTTGTAGCATCAGCCAGGAGCCCGTTGTTTGCTCCAACTAGTTTGTCTATTCTTGTGGGGTTGAGAAAATGCATTACATTCTATGTGTTGTTTTACTTGTTGTGAAAGGGATCTCAGAGTCTATTTCTTGATTGGATTCATGGTTATCTTGTTGAATTCATGGTTATCTTGTTGAACAACAGCAATAGGGCTATGTGATGGTATAGGAGTAATATTACTCAAATGCACACCTCAATCGTACGTGGAGCAGTCTTTTTGGTTTTGTCTTCACACTCTTACCTCGTATTTTCTCTATTCAAAGACATCTAATAATGCTGCAATTTGTGGTCTTCCTTGGCTGGGACATGCCTCCAAAATTCTATCCTGATTTTTGGTTGCTTCTAAATTCCCAATGTGGGCAAAACAAAGAGTGTTAATTAAAGGTCAGCAAATTAAGGTTTATACCATGATAATGTAGTATACTATAGCTAACTTGACTGTTCGCTAGGCTACATATCAGGATCAGTTTGTTCTTTTGAAAATTTTCAATTACTAAATATGAGATACTTCAGCAATCTGCCATGCAAAATGATCCTAGCTTGGAGACAATTTTTCTCTGCTTATCAATACAATTATCCATGCCCTATAGCTTGTGGGAAAAAAAACAAATCTGTTTTCTTCATAATCTATATATACCTGAGAATTCCAAATAGTTCGCACAGATTACAGGTGAGTTTTTTTTTTTTTTTTTTTCCTTTTCTGTGATAGCTAAAAAAATTTCTGGTGAATTTATGCACATTCCACATTCATGACTGCGATAGTCCCCTGTTGTCGTGACGCTGTTGTACTTGTATCGTTCGGGACGCTACGCTGATCAGCTTTGATAGATGACGCGGCAATATCCAGGGGTGATTGGTGTGGTGGGCTAATTAGCTGAGCCCAAAAAGTAACGACAATCCTCAGATCGATGTCAAATAGACCAATCCATCTGCTTAGCTATCTAAATGGACCCTAATAATGTATTCTTCTAGTTCATAACTTAACAGACACAAGTACAATGGGCCTATAGTTGACTGGGCTTAATCAAAACCCGCAGAAACAAAGGCTAAATTAAGCTCACACATCTACGTATACTTTAATTAAGGTATTATTGAACCAGCTTTTGCAATGAAATTAAATTCTTCTCTAATACGTTTTTAAGCAGATTAAATTCTTCAGTACCTTTTTCCATAGATATGTTAACAAAATATCTACATTAAGTTTAGTATTTGATTGAAATCAAATTAACTGCATAAATATTATTCTAATTAAAACACATACTCTTATAATAAATTTAGTAAAACTTTAATGTCAAAAGAATTCTTTTGCAATACAAATTGTCACAATATATATACGCATATGCTTATTGCTCATATATGTTCATTGCTTTGCTTCACAAAAGGTACGCTCTTTCTTTTTCTTTTTTCTTTTTTATTTATAAATTTTATTTAATGCTCAATTTAGTGTTTGTAATCTCATATATATATATACTGTGCTGTATCATAAAACTCAAAGATTATTAAACGGATTAAGCATATATCACCAACTACAACTAATGATTACCATATAAATCCATTAGCCGCAAATTTTCTTTTTTCACACTAATTTTTATCTTTCACCAGCATGCACAGACTGCCATGATTAATTTGTGGTTGAGAATTTGTAGTTTATACATGAATATCCCTCCATTACCCACAAATGCTTATCACTCTAACTAGTTCCACCAAGAGGGGTGACGTGGGACTCCATATTGAGAGGTTAGAATTCCATTTAAGATTAAATTGGGATTTGATCAAGACATTTCATTACAAAACGAGTACTTAATATTAAAAGCAAGGAAAAGCGTAAGAAGAGCACAATGCTTGAACGTGGTGCTCTAGCCTCCATGTTCCCAACCTTAAATTCTATGTATGGATTGCAATTGGGATGGACGGCTATCAGTGACCTTTTAGCATCTACAACTTACTGCAACTTGTCATGATATCCCATTAATTAATCACCGAACTGCTAGCTTGGTGATCAAGAATTTCACAGATCCTCTCAATTATGGATTAACCACGCATATCATGGAACAAATATAAAACATGCATCTATTATAGAATTAAGAAAACGTCTCAAATTAATTATTTTCTCTTTGTCTACCTTTTGCAATGTAGGATGCACCTACGACCTACCAATCTGCAGACTGCAGGTATAAATGAAGTCTAGCAAACCCAAGCCACATGAGTTGTCTTGCAATTTTTAATTCCTTTGATTCAAAATCTCAATGGCATGTGGCATATGGTACTCATTTCTAATTATAGCTTGCTTGCAAATTATTTTTGCCAAAATTCAACGCTTATCCGATCCAATACAAGATGTATACCATACCCTTAATTTCTGTTCTACTCTTCTAGAGATTGAAGCTTGCTTAAATAATAATAATAATAACAATGTACTACTTATTTCTTGTTTATAAAATTGAAGAACAGTGGCTTAATTAAGTGGATTCGCAAGCGTGGGGAGGAGTTGCCGGAAAGGTCAAAGAAAGTGGCGTAGTGGAGATGCTAAGGCCTCAATCCTCAGGTATAGTCAGTCTTGCCCACTCGTAAAGCTTCCCTATATAAGTGAAGGGCACTTCCTCGGTTAGACACACAAAGTCAATTCAATCTAGGAGCTACACCTACCTGTAAGGCGAAAAGAGATGGCAAGTACCATGAGGCACTATTGCAGCTCTAACTTGATCGTTCTGTTGTTACTGCTACCCTTACAATTTTATTCTGGTAATCTTACAGATATCCCTTAGTTTCTTGTCTTTCGTTTCTACATATTCTAATCTTGTTCAATAATGTCTCATGAAAAAACTAATTCAGTGTAAGCCAATAGCTGATTTTTGGATTTTAAGCTATTAACTACTACCTACTTGGCACTTGATTTTCTCGTAAATTATTTTAAAAGATACTAAATAATTTTTACCAATTACCGCGTTAGAAATAAATGCCTAGTATACACAGCACTATTTAGCTCTGGATCGAAGTCGTTTTCTTTGTCCTAGTGTACTTGAGACACATATAACGTATAAATTTTCGGACTCATCTCAGGTAAAAGTGAACTCCAATTGAACCACTATGCACAAAGCTGTCCAAGAGCTGAAGAGATAATCAAAGAACAAGTCATCAAGCTGTACAGTAAACATGGAAACACAGCTGTTTCATGGGTCCGGAATCTCTTCCATGATTGCATAGTCACGGTACTCTATCCATATACCGATACCATGCATGTTAAACATAACTTAACTAATTAACCATAATTAATAGGCCAGATATCTAGTACTAATTATCAGGTAATAATTGCTTGTTCGCTATTGTAGTCATGCGATGCGTCACTCTTGCTAGAGACTGTGAATGGAATTGAATCAGAGAAAGCATCACAAAGGAGCTTTGGAATGAGAAATTTTAAGTACGTAAACACCATAAAACAGGCCCTTGAGAGTGAATGCCATTCGACAGTCTCTTGTGCTGATATTGTTGCTCTTTCGGCTAGAGATGGCATCGTCATGGTACGTGTGTGTACCTTTCTTGGAGTCATATATATATATATATATATATAGATTAATTGTACTAGAAATCAGATAAATTGTATATAAAGGGGAAAAGTGGCAAATTTTAGAGCTTGTGGACGTGTTATTACAGTTAGGAGGACCAAGGATCGAGATGAAAACAGGGCGGAAAGACTGCAAGGAAAGCTATAGAGCAGTGGTTGAAGACTTCATCCCTGATCACAATGATAGCATTTCGTTGGTACTTTCCCGCTTTCAATCAATTGGCATTGACGTTGAAGGAACAGTTGCTCTTCTAGGTATGAAATTACTTACTAGATTTCCAATTCTAATACATGCAAACCGTAAAACATTGGAATCACAAAAAGAAATTTAGCAAAATATACGAAGAATTGTCCGTATAATTCAAATTTTTAACTTCTTAAGCATTATATATAGTTGGATTCGATTGAATGTGTTGCGATTTCTCTCTCTCTCTCTCTTCTTTTTTTTTTTTTTTTTTTAAGCTAGGCTCATTTGTTCTGTTTTAATTTGTTCCAGGAAGTCACTCTGTGGGTCGAGTTCACTGCGTGAATCTAGTACAAAGGATCTACCCGACGATTGATCCAACTTTGGACCCGGATTATGCTGTGTACCTTAAACGCCGCTGTCCAACCCCAGACCCTGATCCACATGCAGTTCAATATGCAAGAAATGATAATGAAACACCTATGATCCTTGATAATAACTACTACAAAAACTTGTTACGCCACAAGGGACTTCTCATAGTGGATCAACAATTGACTTCTGATCCACTTACAGCTCCATATGTTGAGAAGATGGCTGCTGATAATGCCTACTTCCATGACCAATTTTCAAGGGCCGTGCTCCTGTTATCAGAGAACAATCCACTTACCGGTGACCAAGGAGAGATAAGGAAGGATTGCCGCTATGTTAATCGCAATTAGCAAATTGACGCTGTGCATAGAGAAATTTTATAATATTTAAGAAGCAACGAGTGTTACGAGTATTATGTATAATAATAATTTTATAAATCAATTTGGAAAAAAAGATAGATATAAAAAAAAATATCCTGATATAAATTTTTATATCTATCTATCTCCTCCAAATAGATATATAAAATAACTATTAAATATATATTAATTACTCGTAAATATTATAAAACTTCTCCCGCATACAGGAGTGATGTATGTGTATGTTTGTGATTGGATAATAAGGAAAAGTTATGAAGGTTGAAGAGATTGTAATTATGGGCGTGCGATAGGCCCTTTATGGAAATGAACTGTTTTTAAATTATTTATGGACTTGGAATGTCTCAAGGCCCAATAATCCAAAATGAAAATAGACCAACTAATGTTCGGCCCAGGCTTTGCTTCAGTTTGCTAAATTGTATGGATTTGGAGAAAAACGTAGATGCAGATGCAAGCAATATCCGCATAATGAATCACTCTTACGTACTTTACTTCGTAGCGATGGTTTCAAAGGCACTAGTGATATGTCATTGATTGAATGATTGAAAATATAACTTATGAATCTATCAACTTAAAGTGCACCTAATAGGCATCACATTCAACTCATTTATTGCTCCTAAATCTAATTAGCTTAAAGGCTTGAACTAAGCCCCATATAATTGATTTAAACAAAATGACTTCTAGGCATTTAAATAAATGATTTTAAATTTAAATTTTTATATATATAAATTTTTTAAATAATTCTATTTGTCTTATATGTCTGATAGAATAATAAATAATTAATCTAATTTTTTAGATATGAAATATTTTGAGAAAAAAATTGCCTTACCAATTCCAGTTTAAAACAAGTAATTGAAGAAAGTATAACTGAATTCTTACATTTTGGATTTGCGATCCTTTTAATCTTTCATCCAATTCTGTTCTCAATGTTTGTTAAAATTAACATGTCAGATTTCCTAACTGATGGCATTTGTTCTTCTTAGGTTAGATTTTAATAAAATAATAATAATAATCTTATGAAAAATGGAATTAGCTTTCTCCCAAATTCAAAATTAAATAATCCAATTAATTTTCTCCTTATCACAGACTTCAACATCGCAGAAACAAAATCATAGGAACCTCGTTTGAAAAGATTTTTTTTTTTTCCCAACAAATATAAGTACCTTATAAGAATCCGTGAATAAATTATAAAGATTTTAATTTTGCCCATTTCACGAATTTTTAAGGCACTCCTTTGTTTCGTTAGTTCTGGAACTGAAATTCCCAAAAGACTGTTCTTTTAACCTAGACAAACGACGTGAATGTCATAAAAAGCAGGACTCCTTTGGCATGGAATGAAATGATGACACGTACTTCTTCTATGTTATCCAGCATAACCTAATATCCCATCCAATAAAATCGCTTGCTTCTAATAGAAACAAGTCTCACGTACAGTGCGCTACACTCAAACCACCAAGAAATTTGCAATTTCCACTCCCATCCCTCCTCATGGACCGTCCGATGATACGATCAGTAGGAGCAGCAATGATTATATGTCTCATGTATGTCCACCTAACGTTGGGATGGATCCCATCTTAGACCCCACCATGCATTCATGCAATATAACAAAATATTTAATTATATCTTAACGAACGCTACCATCCACAGCACAATCATACACAACAGATCAAACTCGTAAGTTGAAAAACTCTCAAATCCAGGCAGTCTCGTGATTTCACGTGCTTACGTGCAAATGACATGACTTGGGTCTTATGCGCCTGTACGCACCCACTGTGCAGTATAGTGTAGTTTCGGACTAAGCTTTTTATTCCACAAAGTCACGTGCAGCCATCCTGTGGCCTGTGGGTGTTTTTTCACTTGTTAATTCTTTTTTTTTTTTTTTTTGGTGAGGTAAAAGAAATGCACGCACGCGTTCTCTAGCAGTGGGTAGGAACGCGCTCCCATGAAGGGAAACTTGGGTGTTGTAGGGGCTAGGTATGGCACGTGCATTACCCATTTTTTGTTCGGAGAATTTCTTCTCCTGCTCACTAGACTTTTCGTATGGACAACGCCCAACGATGACATGTTTTCTTGTGGTCAATGTGGATTGTGGAAGGAAGCATCATTCATCTAATTTTACTAACATTTTGAGGAATAAAACCACCTAGCGTCTACCTAGCTACAAGACATGTTACATGTAGTATGGTGCCATGCTTGCCATCCCATCACATTTTAAGTGGTTAAAACTTGTAAATTGGATAATTCTTTTTTTTAAAAAAAAGAAAAAGTTACAATTTGGATGGCTGATGAGGTTCTAAAATCTGCTTCCATATGCTTTCTGCATTTTTTTTTCTTTTACATGGCGGCTAATTTGGTCTTATCCAAAACATTAACTAAGCGGTCCATCATCCATATTTTGTATAGGGTGGGCCGTGTGGGTCAAATTATAAATACGTGGAATCCAACATGGGTTCTTTTTTTTATTATTATTATGTTGAACAAATTGCCTTAAACAAATAGTGTCCTGGACAATTGCACCCCTATAAAACAAATTGATGTCACATACAAATGCTCAAATAGTAGTATATAGTACTAATGCTTATGGATGCCAAGTTGATTTGCTCTTAATTAATAATAATTAGGAAAAAAATAAAGAAAAAAGATGGCGTGCATTTTGATGTTGAACAGAAATTCATCTTCCCTTCCAAGTAAAAAAATATGACTATGTTCCTGTTTGATTAGACTGCTAAAGCAGCTCAGTCTTAACTAAAGTCCTAAACGACAACTCTAATTCAGTCCTTCTATGCTCTTATTCTCTTTTTAATCTCTTTTCAGGTTTTTTTTTATATGTATAGTTTTCTTTTTCATTAAAGTCTTCTTTACTCGTACCAATAATGCAAAGCATGCAAACTTTGGACCAATCTCTTCTAATATTTATTATTATTATTTTAATTTAATCTAATAACATCTCCAATTTACCAGAAAGTGCGGCAATGCATGACTTTTACGGTTCTACCACGACGTGCAACCATAAAACGGTGTGGGAAAAAAAAAAAAAAAAAAAACTGTTTCTTAATCGCCGAAAAAAATAACCGTTACGAATGGCTACGTGTCACTCCCACACTTCCACATGTCTTCTTCACCTCTTCTTCGGATTCCCTCACTCTTACACTATTCTCTTGTTTTCTTGCTTGGTTCCGTTTTTGTTCTGTTTCCAATCTCTCTCTCTCAAAACCCGTGAAAATTTCTCACTCTCCTTCTCTTCACCTCTCCAATAAACCTGAAACACTGAATTCTATAATGTTAATGTCTTAATGTCTATCTCTTACAAAACTTGGCACATTGTTCCTTCACCCCTTCCTTTGTTTCTCCTACTCTGTTTAGTACTGGTAAGAACCAAAGCAACATCAACTGATTTTGACTTTGGTACTGTAACACTTGGCAGTCTTAAACTCCTCGGCGACGCTCACTTAAACAATGGCAGCGTCCGTCTCACTCTTGACCTCGCAGTCCCCAATTCCGGCGCCGGCAAAGTTCTCTACTCTAAACCCATCAGATTCCGGCAACCATCCACTCACTCCATCGCTAGCTTCTCCACTTTCTTCTCCTTTTCTATTACTAATCTAAACCCTTCCTCCATCGGTGGGGGCCTAGCTTTTGTCCTCTCGCCGGACTCCGACTCCCTCGGTGCTGCCGGTGGTTTCCTTGGACTCCTCAACACCGACGGTGGGCCTGAGGCTGCTTCCAGTTTTGTGGCAGTCGAGTTTGATACTTTAATGGACGTGGAGTTTAAAGACATTAATGGAAACCATGTGGGTTTGGATCTAGATAGTATGGTTTCTACACAAATTGGTGATTTAGGAGCTATTAATATTGATCTAAAAAGCGGTGATCTTGTTAATGCTTGGATCGATTATGATGGTACTAATCAAAGCTTTAACATTTCTGTTTCCTACTCAAATCTTAAGCCCAAAGAACCAATTTTGTCTTTTACTCTTGATTTAGACCAGTATGTTGATGATTTTATGTATGTTGGGTTTTCTGGGTCCACTCAAGGAAGCACAGAGGTTCATAGTATAGAATGGTGGAGTTTTAGTTCTTCTTTTCAATCAAGTTCAGGTTCCGAGTCGTCTTCTTCAGTACCTCCACCTCCAACGGCTAGTTTGATGAATCCAACTGCTAACTCTCTTAAGTCCCCGCCACCAACACCGGCTCCTACTGGTTTAGAGTCAGTTAATGGTAAAAGTGCCAAGTCTAATTCGTGTCATAACCAGCTTTGCAAGCAGGGTGCAGGGGCTGTTGCAGGGGTGGTGACTGCTAGTGCTTTTTTTGTTATTTTTGCCGGTGTTCTTATCTGGGTTTTCTCCAAGAGATTCAAGCATGTGAAAAAGTCAGAGTCTTTTGCATCAGAGGTTATTAAAATGCCTAAGGAATTTAGTTATAGAGAGCTTAGATCAGCTACTAAATGCTTCAATGCGAATAGAATTATTGGTCATGGAGCATTTGGGACTGTTTATAAGGGTATATTGCAGGAGAATGGAGATATTGTGGCAGTGAAGCGGTGTAGTCATAGCAGTCAAGGAAAGAATGAGTTTTTATCTGAATTGTCAATAATTGGGACTCTAAGGCATCGAAATCTTGTTCGGCTTCAAGGCTGGTGTCATGAGAAAGGTGAAATTTTGTTAGTTTATGATTTGATGCCGAATGGGAGTCTTGATAAAGCTTTGTTCGAGGCAAGAACGCCTTTGCCATGGCCACATAGGCGTAAAGTTTTACTTGGTGTTGCTTCTGCTCTGGCTTATTTGCATCAAGAATGTGAAAACCAGGTGATTCATAGAGATATTAAGACTAGCAATATCATGTTGGATGAAGGGTTCAATGCAAGATTAGGAGATTTTGGATTGGCAAGGCAAATTGAGCATGATAAATCGCCAGATGCAACAGTAGCTGCTGGTACAATGGGGTATTTAGCTCCTGAGTATCTATTAACAGGAAGAGCTACAGAGAAAACTGATGTGTTTAGTTATGGAGCTGTGGTTCTTGAAGTGGCTAGTGGGAGAAGACCCATTGAGAAAGAGACTACTGGGGTTGGAAAAGTTGCCGTTAATGGGAATTTGGTGGAGTGGGTTTGGAGTTTACACAGAGAAGGGAGATTGCTAACGGCAGCTGATGCTAGGCTCGAGGGTCAGTTTGACGAGAATGAGATGAGGAGGGTTCTGCTGGTTGGTTTAGCTTGTTCGCATCCTGACCCGATGGCTAGACCCACTATGAGAGGTGTGGTCCAGATGCTTGTGGGGGAAGCTGAGGTCCCTCTTGTCCCAAGAGCAAAGCCTACAATGAGTTTTAGCACTTCACATCTCTTGTTGAGCTTGCAAGACAGTGTGTCTGACTGTAACGGCATGATCACCATTTCCTGTTCCTCATCAGATAACAGCTTCATAGGTGGTCATGATCTAGTTTGATCAAACTGAAGGAACCTACCACAATCTTTTGTTTATTGACTCATATAATATTTATATTATTATTATTATTATTATTATTCGTTTATGTATGTATAACACAATAACATCCAATTAATCAGAAGTGTTTTTAGGGACATTTCTTAGTGTTAAATTTATTTATTTTTTGGTATGATAAAATTTGTAGTGGAGGCTTTAACTATAGTGGTTGATATAGAAAAAAATGGTAATGGGAGTCCTTTTCTTGCTTTTCGTTGGATGCGTAGTTGCTTTCACAAGTAACGTTATAGTCAAAAGCAGAGATAGCCAAATGCGAGTTTGAGTAGAGGCTTGGTAAAGTATTGGTGACAAAAAGGAGTGCATGTTAATTATTAGCATTTTAGAGACTTCTTTAGATGATGGGCTGATGGCGGAATAACGGCACGGTGAAGTCAATGAAACAATGATTCTTTTCTTCTCTTTTTAAAGATCGAATTTATAGTGCGTTATGATCCCATCATCCGGTTCTGAGACTCTTTTCCTTTCATGGCTTTGTAAATTCAGATCAGTGCTTGGGTGCAAATAGTATTGGCTGCAAATTGTTTGCTCTGAAGATGAGATTTACAGTCTAATATTATATAATTAAAAAGAGATTCATGTGTGAGAAAAGAAGCTCAAACGTGATTTGAGAGGAGGAATCCGTCTATCTTAATCCGATTCTACTTTGTTTAAACCTTTCTGAGGCTGCATTAGTTTTCATATTCTAGCTTTCTAAAAGTTTTTTTTTTTTTTAAAAAAAAAAGAAGAAGTGAAATGATCGCCCAAAAGGAATTTTATTTTTTATTTTTTATTCCTGCAGCAAAGCATCTCCACTAGCAAGATAAATCCAAAACATAAACGGCATTTGTACTGTAACACTAGCAAGACAATTGCCCTGTCTTTCTCTGAACAAAAACAAATTTGCCATACAAAATTAAATAATAAAAAAAATGATGATTCAGCCTTCATTTGAGATGGATAATAGCTGATTAAAGAAAGAGTCAGGTCTAGCATTGAATTCTTCAACGAGGATAGATTTTTCACCTTAGGGTACCAATGAACATATTTGTCCTTTTTCTTATTTGTCTAGTAATTATTTGGTGTCTGACTTGTTGGAACACTTCTAAGATATATTGCTGTAAATATTTAACTTCTTGGTGTCGCATTCTGTGATTAAAAAAGCCAGTGGCATGTGTTCTTACCGTGCACTTAGTAATTAAGCTAAAACAATTGGTGTAAATTGTGCCCACTGCCGACCATATGTAAGATTCTTAAGCAATCTTGTCTGATTTGCAGATCGATTTACGAACACGCATTTTTGCGAAAATGGTTTTGAACAGCTACAAGAGATTGATCTTATAAGCTAGATAACATTTTTAATGGCCGGCTGGTAATTAATTATGCTTCGCTTTACTAAGCAGAGTGGCAGAGCATCATTCACAGGATGGTTCAGCATGTGCCCCTCAGTACGTCACCATCTATTCTGAGATTGAAATTTCTTAGCCACCTGATAGTGACAAACAAAAGCCCATATTTATGAATATTTCTTTTTGATAAAATGAAAGTTTTACTGATAAAAAATCAACTAATCCAAGAAAATGTCATTAATACAAGAGTCAGAAAACAAAGCATCTGACAAGCTACAAAAAGCAAGCTAAACAATTACCAGCTGCTAAAGTACCATAACTGTCAAATTACAAATAGAATAGGATTACAAATTGCTTCATTTAGAATCCTACCCTTCCGTATTCTATTCCTGAATAATGCATTTAAGAATAAAATCTCCAGCTTTATGTATTTTGTTATTTCTGGCTTTCCAAACGTAGTAGATGTATGAAGACCAAGCAAGTTTTAGCCAAAAAGCAAGAAAACCCTTTTTCTGCAGAGATTGAATGGCCCAACAGAACTCAGAACTCCATTCCCCCTCCTGTCTATTGGTCTTGGTTAAGGTTAGAACTTGCTGCTTCACCTCTCCAGTGATAGCACAAGAGAAGAAGAGATGATCTCCATCTTCATTAGCATTATTACAAAACTCAGAAACAGGATTGATGGTCCTTCCCTTTTGAATTGTTGCACTTGGTAGATAGTTAACAGATAAAACTAAATCTTAGGGATGTGCAATGTTCCCCAGGTCAGTTTATAAGACCAGATTGCCAAATCACACAGTTCCTAATTACTGGACAAGGATGAACGAGGCCTCAAATAGCACTCTGAATCATCTTCGTATTATCTGACCTAGAATCAGGCCAAAACCAATCCTCATTGTTTATTACTTCAGAAAGCTTGGCATTAGTAGCTAGCCAAGTGCCATACATGACCCCTGTTGCCATATGTTTTGACAAAATTACCATGAGGATGCTATTGATCCCCACCGCAGTAAGTGTTTTTATGGCGAATGAATCATTTTCATAAACCAAATGAGAGAGTAGGTTACTACGAAGCAAAAGGTAATAGTTTAAACTATACCAATCCCCAGTTGCAGCAAATATCAAAGAGATGGGGCTTCTTAACTGCATCTTTACACAAAACTCTATTCTGTAGCCTATTCTTAACTGTAAAGATAATGTTGTGTACAATACTGTTCGAAGAAGAGAACTGATTTGAGTGCCATCGTTGGTTCTTTTCTTGCCAAGTAAGATGTAGGAACATGAAACTATGAGGAGCACGAAAATGAATGGTTTTTTTCTGAAGGTGTTGCTTAGCCCAACCAAGCTCTTGATTCCAGCTTCCAATTTGCTTACAGATATTACATTTCTTAAGATTTATGTCCAAATGGTTTTTTGTAATTTCACATTCAAAGAAATACAGATATTACATTTCTTAAGATTTATGTCCAAATGGTTTTTGTAATTTCACATTCAAAGGAAAGGTGGTCTCTACATTCAAGTGCTTGCTTTCATAATACACAATTAGGGTCCATATGTCTTCTCCTTCTAATCTGCCTGTCTTTAAAAGAGTCTATCAAGAATGATCAACCATGATGTGAAAGCTGTATTTAGGAACATAAAGAGGGTTATTTTGTGACATTCAACTCTGCCACTTTTGGTCCTTAACACTTCCCAGGCACTTTTAACATAGAAAAATCCATTTGGTGCGAGGGACGAAGAGATTCAATCATTCTTTCGAACATTAGGGAACATCGTACCACATATAGCAGCTTGGATTCTGACTAGTTGATCAGACTGGCACTTGGGCAGTCCCAAGTGTTCCCACCTCAGTAAGATGTTTTCACCGTTCCTCATAATGTGCACAAAATTGATCCCATAAAACACTTCTGAGCTTCAATAATTTTTTCCAATTCCATGAGCAATCATTTGAAAGAAGAATGCTTCAGGAACTCCTGCTTCTAGATGAAAGCCCATATCTTATCATTTTCTGAAATACATATTTGAATTAAATTGATGTATTTTTCATTATCGTAGGTCTCAATTAGTCCTACATATCCTTCAAAATTTTTAACAATTATACTTGTGGATGTTTAGTAAGGAATATTTGAGATTGATGTGCAATCCACTTGATACATGTGGATGTGTTAAAAAAAAAAAAACGAGGTAAGATATTCATTCAATAATAATCAAAAGGTTTTGCTAATGTTTTAACTATTTATTTTTTGAATTATTTTAATTAAAATCCCGTATTCTCTTTTGTATTAATTGAGATCTTCTATTCTTTATTTTTGAATTATTTGAGACTATATTTTTTATAACACCATTAGTTGTGAGATGACATAGCATTGACATGACAATAACATGACACATCTATATCTGAATACGTAACATGTGCCATACACGGGATGTTAACGTTGTATTGACGTAATCCGTCCAGCTTCGAATACATGACACATATTATATATAGAATCTCAATTGAAAAAAAAAACAAAAATAACATACAAAAACATGATTGCACAAACTTTAGAAAGTATAAACTAAATTTTTTTTTTTAATTGAAAAATTGAAGGACAAAAATTTGAATAAAGGACCAAATTATTTAATTTTAAGGATCAAAATAGCTTTTTGAAAAATACAAGGACTGAAATAAAATATTTTTATAAATTATTATAGCATGCATTAAATAGGTAATAAATAAATAGATATTAAAAAGTAAGATATCATAAATATTTGACTAATTCAAAGTGAAAAATAGAGGGGAAAAAAAAAAACAAAAACTTGGGACTCCAGGTAATTGAATATTTTGCCCAGTTTGTTTATGTAGCCCAGTTTCTTGGTCTAGAGTCTTTAAGAGATTGAAAATTTAAACATAAAGTGCTGCTGCCATGCCTTCTCGGCCCAGTTTGTTTACGTAGCCCGATTTGTTGGTCTAGACTTTAAGAGATTGGCTTTGTTGGACCTTCGAGGCCAATTTCTGTTCAGTTGGGTTGTTCTAGCTAACAAGGTCACTCAAAATTGGTTCCTACTTTGAATCAAGACCCAATCCACAGTAGCATCCTTGAACAAGTTTTTTTAAGTATTATTATTTTTTTCTTTTTTGCATAAAGTGAGAGAGTAAGTTATAAATTAGTCTCTCTTTCTTTAAATAATTAATTAATTAATTAATATATTTTTAAAAATTAATTATTTAATCTTTTTTTGTTATGTTTTAATTTACTTTGTTTTTTTTTAAGAAATATATAATTAATAAAAATAAGTAAAAATATAAAAAGAATGATGAGGAAAAATATATTTTAAAAAATAAAAAAATTATTAAATTATTCGTGATCAACACTAGTTTTAAAAAATAAACAATTATTTTTTTAAACTAGAGGACCAAATTAATTTGTTTCTTTAAACAAGAGTGGTTAATTTATGATTTATTCTAAATAAAGACTAAATCTATCATTTTTTTTATCAAGTTAAAATCGGATCACGTCTAAGGGTTAGATTTTTTAAAACTTAGTAGCAGTTCATGTCTAATGTTATATTAATAAATAAAAAAAAGGAGTATTTCAAAAAATAAAATCGAACTCTTGAACCGTAAATCGTATATATATTTTTTTATTACTCTACTTACAACTTTCAATTATATATATTTATATATTATTTATAAAAAATATTCTCAAATCAATTTTTATGTAAAGAAATATTAAAATTTTATATTATATTATTATATTTAAAAGCTTTTAATATAGACTCCAGTTTCTGATTATTAATATATTTGGATAACGAGTTAAAGATTTTGATTAGTTGAGTTGATGTTGTGCTGGGTTTTCAATAATTGTAAGTGTTGGATCTAATGTTGCTCTCAAAATATCATCCCTGTCTAAGACTGTCAAATGAGTTAACATCAAGCCAAACTAGGGAGACAAGGCTAAAAAGAAATAGCAATCAAAGGTTACATTATACCCACAGTTTTTTTTTATCCAATAGCCTAACCGCTAGACACCTCAACCTCAATCCAGTGTGAGCAAGTAGATCCACTGCACCAAAGGCAAGGATCTATTTAGTTTCTTTTTTTCTTTTTTTCTTTTTTTGTGCTCCTAAAAAAATTAAATAAATCGTATTTAATAGAAATAAACCATTGTATATATAATAAGAACCCTACGGTTTACCAAAATTAATAAATTAGCTCGTATAGTTTTTTAAAATTATTATTTCATTCCTTTAGTTTTAAATCCATTTATCATATTTCTTTTCTTCAGTTTCATTTTATTAATTTGTCAATTGGCTTTGTTCTCTCTCCTAAAAAACTATAGATAAAAAAAAGAAAAGAAAAAGAAAAATATACGCAGATAAAGTGAAAAAGTGGAAAATTAGATATCTGATGAAAGTTTGATCAAAGGATAATTTCATTATTTTTAATGCTAAAAAATTAATTAATTAATTTGTTTTTGATAGAGTAAGATACTAAGCTCTAACGAACTCTATTTTATCTCATTAATGTACATCACCATCAATTTAAATGATAAAGTTATAAAATATATAAATAAATTCATATTAATATTTTAGGAATTTGTTTTCTAAAAAAAAATGTATTTTTAATAACAGTTTTTTTTTTAAATTTATTATCAATAATGTTTCCAAACATTTTCATGGGATGGGTTAAATTATGCACATAACTTGAATTAAAACGACACCAAACTGCGGCTAAAACTAAACGTTTTAAATTTGAAGGGCCCAAAAGAAGTGGTCAGTAAACCAACTCTAACGCCAACAGTTTCGTTTCCGTTTTGTGGGTTATAGATCTGTGCATCTCGCTTCCTGTTTTCTTTTCTCTCTCTGGAATCTTCTCATTGTCCAATTCGAGCAGCGAGGAGCTGATCTCTAGCAGCCATGGATGACGATTTGGAGTTCTCTAACTCTCCTCCTTCCTTCCAAAACATGGTACGCTGCTTTTTTTTTTTTTTTTTTTTATAGAATTCCATTTTTCTCTCGAACATTCAAATCCGAGATCTGTAATGATAGAAATGTATTTTAATTCAGAGATCTTGTTTATTTTTTTCTTTAATGATTGATTCCTGATATGATCTCGTGCTTTATGTTTTCTGACTTGACAATTCAGCTTCTTCTTCCTTTTTAAGATTTTCTTTTATTGCATGATATGTTTGCTGATTTGATCTGTTAATCATAAAGCCTTTTTTTTTTTTTTTTTTTTTTTTTTGTAATTGAGAGGGAAGGCGAAGTATTTGTTTGAGATAATGGAAAAATCATATTTTTCTTGTTGTAATTATGTTGTGTTGAAAATTCTATGTGATGAGCTTATATTTTTGTGTTAATCCAAGCGTTTGGTTTGATTACGATAAGCTTTTGGCTGTAGTTATTTTTTTTAAAAAAAAAACACTGTCCTGAGGTCCTAGGTTTATAGGCTTTTGGTTGAAGATGGTTGTCATGGAAGTTTTTTTCTGAGTCTTGTTGAGCTGACGCTGTTTGATTCGAAACTGTTGTCAGACATAGCCAAAATATAAGTATGATGTAATTTTACATGGATTTGTTTAGGCCTCCTTTGAAAGAAAACTAAAACTTCATGTTACTTAAGTTAGTTTATGCCGCTCTTCATTCTAATTCAATAACTTGCACCAGACATTGTTCGATTCCTGTCCAGAATTGCCCCATTGTCATTTACTTCTATCACACACTTTTTCGATTTATTTGCTTTGTCAGATAACCATTTTTTTCGCCATCCATGTTGTGTTATTGTAGTCACCTGTAGTGAACATTGTGTGATCGCTTGTTCTGTTATTGTTCTCAATAACTTGATGTGGAATTGTGAGGAGAGATGGTTGTAGCTTGTAAATATGTGTGGAGATACCACAGTAACTTTGCATTAAGTTCCTGTCTCATCTATGTAACCTTTTCTGCATCCATGATCAATTTATTTTGAAATCAAACATTAGATAAATGGATATATTTATATACCTATATGGGTATTTAAGCATTCTTATGCCTGCTGCAAGATGTTTGACACTTGAACAGGTTTAACCTAGGCACTTATCTATTGGAAATGGCACTACAACTCTATTGAATTGTGCCACTATTTAGATAATCAGCCTTTTTATGATGAGTCCTCTTTAAGGAAAATTTTAAATATAAATTTCTTGGGTTACAGTTTCTGTATCACTGATAGAGTGACCTATATAATTTAATTTGCTTCTTTGTTTCTGCGTGTGGTTTACTGGTGGGTTGTGTTTATCCTTGCTTCCTTGTTTCTTCTTGTTTGCTGTCTGATGTACAGTTGAATTTTATGATGAACAGGGGAATTCGATCAAGGATGCTGAGTCTAAAGGGTTAAATCCGGGATTGATAGTGCTGCTGGTTATTGGGGGTTTAGTTTTGACATTCCTAGTTGGAAATTATGTGCTTTACGTTTACGCGCAGAAGACCCTTCCTCCAAAAAAGAAGAAGCCCATCTCTAAGAAGAAGATGAAGAGGGAGAAACTGAAGCAAGGTGTCTCAGCACCAGGAGAGTGAAAATTTAAGACTTGCTTTCTGTTGGTCCCCCTCTGTTGAACTGTTGTGTTCGAAATTTTCCGTTCTTTGATGTCAAGAGAGCACTGTCAGTTATGTTTTCAACTTCATACTTTTAGAAAGTCAAACTACATAATTAGAGGCTACTATCCTATATTTGAGTAGAACAGGGGGTAAAATTGCATGCTGTCTTTAAAATTTAGCTTCTCATTCTTTCTTTTTCCTTTATGCCGAGTCATCTTTTGGATCACTACCACCTAATTTAGGCCCCGTAGGATTTGTCAAGCAGGCATTCGAAAACCAACAGATTACAGGCCACTGAATTTTGGAAGAATAAAGGCTAGTGCCAATCTAGGAGCTGCATCTTGCTTTTTCAGACATGTGCACAAATCATATAGGGGCCTAGATGTGTAGTCCAGTTGAATTATAGCGTTACGTGTTTGGGGCTATGAAATGAGTACCATGTGCGATGCATAGATTGCAGATGTCTGTCTTCGTCTTTTAGCTCTTGAGAAATCGAGTTGGGATGGTATTTTGGGTGGCGTAGATTTATAGGTCTGTTGTGGCAATGGAGAATCAATTGTAGATGTTTCCTCATGTTTTAGTCCTTGAGAAATGGAGTTGGAAGTGAATCTGACTATTTAGGCTATGATGTCTCCGTTGGATAGAAAAGCGTCATTTAGAAACCACAGGGCGGTAGCTGGTGGTAAATAAGTATTAATTTGTAGCTGAAGCTATTTTTTTTTAACTTGGGAAAATTTCATTAAAATGCAATAATCGAATACATCTTGACATACAAATTATACTGATTAAGATTTAGCATGGAATCAATTATCCTAGTTAGAGTAACTTGATTTGTAGACCTCAAATGTTTCATTGAACATCGAATAATCTGACTTATAGGTTGCAGAGGATACGAAAGATTGCAGTTGTATAGATGGAGTCGTGCAATTAACCATGCTCCTAAATGTTTTTTGAAATTTAACAGTGCAGGACAGAACCAACCGGATTAATTAAGCCATGACAAAATAACAAACTTTTATCTTTGACTTCTAGGTTGTAGAGGGTTGTAGAGGATACGAAAGACTGCAGTTGTATAAATGGAGTCGTGCAACCAACCATGCTCCTAAATGTCTTTTGAAACTTAATAGTGCAGGACAGAATCAACCAGACTAATTAAGCCATAGCAAAATAACAAACTTTTGATAAACGAAAGACAAATATAACTCTTGATAAACAAGAGATAATACAACACAACCAAACAAAGCAATAAGCTAAAACGAAAACCATAAGAGATAGTAATCAAACAGTCCAAAACTCAACCCTACAAAGGTAGAGCAGTTTGTTGGAGGAGGTAGGGGTCGATGCCGTTTGGAGCAGTCGCGGCAGATGCAATTGTGGATGGCCGACAGAGGTGGAGTTGACAAAAGCGTTGGTTGTGGTGGCTATCAAAGAGGATAGGCGGTGACCACAACACCGACCAAGGTGGATATGGTGGGTATGAGGGAGGTGATGATGGAGAGCTCATCGGAGAACTTGCCAAGGCAACCCACAAAATTGTAAAAAAACACCAGATTTAGGGAAAGATCTAAGAGATTTGGAATTATTGAAAGAGACATAAAAAAGAAAAAAAAAAAAAGGAGAAAAAGGAAGGCTACCGCCAGTCAAGAGCTCACTAAAACCAAGCTTTTATGACATCGATTAGCTTTCAAGAGTAGTAGCTGAAGCTATTAAAAACGAAAGAAATGTTTCCTTATTATTATTATTATTGAAATTTCCACCTCTCATTGGAAAAACTTCAAAACATCATTTCCGACACCAGGAAGCCATTAGTAAGACCATTGCACACAAAAAGGGCTTCCAGAAATTGAGTTTGCAGTAGACAATATTATTTGCCAGCTTGAGTGCTGACTTCTGAGCACTTCCAATAAGTTTCAGGTTTTAATGGTGCTATCAAATAAATTTTCTATTTGCCATCGAACCTTACAAGGGCAACGTTTGGATGATATGGCAAAAAACACGTGCCTTAGCATAACATTAGACACTTCCATTGAAAAAAAAAAAGATACTTCAATCATGACTTTTAAACACAAAATATCCATAAAGTATTCATAATTAGTCGGTATTTATTTATGCTATGCGACGGTCCAACAAAGCAACATCGTCTTCAGAAAATTTAACATGACTTCATAATATCAAACCACAAATAAGTATGAACAGGATATAAGTTTTCTGATGCTGGCGGAGGACCCATTTTAGGCCCCACGGCCCATTGATTGCTCCCCAGGAGGGATCATCACCATGACTGGTTGAGCATTGAACCCAGGATGGGGCACCCTACGACGGATCTCACGACCCTCCTGGCATAGGGCACATGGGTGGCAGAAAACATGAGTTGCAAAATCACATGCTGACTCACACTGCTCACGTTGCAAATCATCTTCCACAAGGCTTCCACAGCAACCGCATGACCTATGAAGTGCCTCACAGCTACCCTGTCTCACATAAACAACCACAGAAATTAATGCTCGAAAGGCAATCTTTCTAACCTTTTTCTGAGTTGTAATAGCAGAAAAAGACCAACACCAACTTGTTTCTTTCATAATAGGAAATTTGAAAAGTCCTAAAGCACTTCTACCAGGTATGAATGGGGAGAAGAGGTTTTTCAAACACGTAATATTGCAGTGTGTGGATAAAATCTCATGACAAAATATATACTGTCAACATAATGATTTAAATGTAGACTATTTCTTGGAGCAAGTCTAAATTAACTGAATTGGAACTCATTTAAGGGCCCTGCTCTTTGAAAAAGAACTAGTAATTTCATAAGCCTGGAGCAGAGTCAAGAATATGAGATATAAAACAGTGAAATTGTAAAAGAAAATGAATCAACAAATAATTAATGATTATAGCGGGGGTGATAATAAAGCTACTCAAGCATCAGAACTCAAAAATCATGTTTAAAATGCAGATATATGGTAGCATGACTTAGAACATAAACTTGCCTCAAGGTTAAACTTCCGGCGGATAGCTGTGCGGCTAGGATATGAAAACCATGGTGCGATGCAATTCCCACCAAAAAATGAATTGCCAATCAGGTACAGACCAGAGTATGGCAAGCAGTGGGTTGCAAATGTTCCAGGAGTAGATCCAAGTCTCTCAACATTGCTTCCATACAGCACGCAAGGGGCAATGCTTCCAAGAAGACCTTGCAAAATTCAAAATTAGGAATACGAGGGGATTAAGAGATATGCCCACAATGCGTGCCAAATGCTTCCTAATCAGCTAACGATCATTCCTCCTTTAAATGGGCTATTTCACATTCTTTAAAGATCAGATCCATAAATAAAAAAAGCAATCAAATTGCTTATGCAAAACTAATGGCCAAAGGAAATGTAATTTTTTGCTCAAAGTTCACTTGAAAAATTAATCAAGATTGCATTGGATTTTATAAGAACATAACGGGTGCATTACCGTGCATATAACATAAGCAAGCAAGCCACCAAGGTTACGGCTGCATAAAAAGGAAAAAGAAAAAAAAACTTACAGCGATTCGATTGAACCTACCCGATAGAAGCGCAAATTTCCAATTGATTATGCAATAACTAATTACCGATCCTAATTAACATTGTCATGATACAATTTGCAGATTAAAAGATCATTGATCAAAGACAAATGATCCATTACTTTGCTAAAGGTTAATCAATCAAAACCCCAATTATAAGAATATCATTAGCAATTCAAGAATTCGTAAATTAGAAAGATAATCAACAACCTATTCTTGATAGCATTCTCATGATAAAAATGGCAAAATGAATGATCAGTTAATCCATCAATCATTAAAAAACAAGAACAATTGCATTGTTAGAGTTAAATGAATGAATAACCCAATTGAAAGAATGTATAAGTCATTTAAAAAATTAATGACTTACAGACTTCAAGATCGCTGCTACAGAATTCATCGTTACGGCCGAGGCAAGCTAAAAGGCTGGAGTCCCACGGAGTCCGGCCCATAGGCTCACCCAACACGCTCCCATGACTCAACGGCAGCCCATTAACGGTCCACCCATATTCAGGCACAGCAGATCCCGGGGTAGCAGTGGCGGTCTTTGCATCAGGAGAAACCTTGGTGGGTTTCTTGTCGTTTTGTTCGTCAAGTTTATTGTTCAATAGAGGGCTTGCTTCCTCATGATCATTATTGTTGCTGTTGAAGATTGGGATGTTGTTGTTGTCAGCCATTTTGGAGAGAACAGAATCGAAAAGAAAAACAAGCCCTGGATTTTGCAGAGAAAGGCGAAAATAGGAAAAGTTGAAATGGTAGATGAAATTGGATCTGAAGATGTAAGGAAATGATGCTGTAGAGGGGGGGGGGTGTGGGGTTGGGTGTTGGAAGAAGAGGTCAAGAGTCAATTACCTGGCTGTTGTTAGTGTTATTATTAATTTATTATCGTTGATTATGTCCCAAAACCGCGTCTACCGTTGTCTGTAAAATTAACTCTCGGTGATGACTATGACATAGGTTAATGATTCTTATAATGTAATATAAGCAGAAAGTTTTATTTTTGATAATTAATATAAATCGAATTTATATATAGTTAATTTATAACGAAATTAATGACACACACACATATATATAAATAAAAGTTACAATAAAATTGATTCTGATAAATTCTGAATAAATATATATAAAAAAAAACAAATAAAATTTATGAATTTTTTGAACTCATTATTATTTTTTAAAAAAAATTGAGTCAAACTATCTTAAAATATATATATATATATTTATTCTTATTATTTAAAACTTTTTTCTTCAATTATTTATTTCTTATTAAATTTCTCATTAACTTAATTTTTTAATTTTTTGATTTAATTTTATTTGTTGATAAATTTGATTTTTTAATATATGAATTTTGGTATATATATATATACCTTTTTGACCCCTGAACTTCTTACATAATTTCATTTTAAAGTTTAAACTTTTAATTTTATGCAATTAAGTCCCTAATTTTATGCGATTGAGTCCCTAATTTTATGCAATTAAGTCCCTAAATCCAAAATTGAATTCTATACCTTTCCAAAATCCAAATTCTCTTCATAATAAATTCAAACACTTTCTAAAATAATTTAATCATGATTTACATAATTTTTATACTCTTATTTAAGCCTCCAAATTAATTATTTACTATAACAATTATACTATTTCCGATAGAAAATATTCCTTATATAGGAAAAAATTAATTTAAATTTATTAGATACTCCCACACATCCTAAATGATTTTTCTATGCCCTTTAAAAAAGTTCCTCATACTTTTTAAGTACCAAACTTAATTATTCTACCTCTAAAACACTATTCCTACACCTAAAAATTCAAATAAAATATTCACAATATAATATAAAATGCACCCAATCACATGAAATAATTTGACACCCCTCTAATAAATATTCTAAGCAAACAAAACATTTTTCATGCACATACAATATGCTCAAAATAATTATTTTAACTATTTTAACTACTCTAAATATTCTTTTAAGCCTTTTTGGATTGATTCATGCATTTAAAACATTTCTCACATATTTTTAATATTTAATTTTATTAAATTTTAATTTTAACAGACGTCGAATATTACAAAATGACCTCTTCTTTTTCATTTGCCTTTTGTATACGAAGAAGGCTAAGAGAAATCAATTTTTTTTTTTTTTCAGACCAGGAATGTTTAGAACCTTAAAGTAAGTTCACACCAAACAATCATGCATCTTGACCCGAATAATTCTTATCCTGAACTTAATTATTGCGTAAACAGAATTATCAGATATCACAACTTCACCTTTAAAAGACTCGTATATGGATAACCAAACCTTATTGTGACTCATATGATATGAATAAGCAGAGACCAAAATCCAATAATTCTGGAGTGTTGTATTATCAGCCATGACACAGACATACTCAGACTCGTAATGAGTACCAACCACAAGATTGGCCTCTCTGGAGCTTTTATACGAAACTTACTTCCTACTCATTCTCTCTTTTCTTTTTCAGCCTCAAACATTTTTTTTTATTAATATTGCCCCTTTTGTTGACAATAATTATGAGTCACATTTTTATGTATGCCAAGACTCATCAGAATTGTATTTATTGTTACCAAAAATCCTTTTTTTAAACCCTATCTCTAATAACCAAAGTCTCAACATAAATATCATTGACACTACCACTAATATACCTATTAACATTTTTTTTAGACAATAAGGCAAGTTTGACTTTGTTGATCGAAATGGTGTCTTTACCAAACAAGAAGGTTTTCATGAGATATTTATAAGAGGTTGGTAGGAAACCTAATAACGTAAGGGCTTCATCTTCATTTTCAATCACAACATCAATGGACCTCAATTGCATAATAATAGAATAAAAACTATCAAGATGAGTCTTAATTGACGTACCTTCTACCATCCATAACATATACAAACGATGTTTCAAATATAACTTGTTGGTGAGAGATTTTATCATTTACAAAGATTCTTAATTGAGTCATAAGCTAGGAGTAGTCTTTTCGCTAAGAACTTAACACAGAACATCATTAGATAAACAAAGTTGTAAGGTTGCTAAAGCCTTCTCATCCATATCTATCTTTTAATCATTTGTCATCTCAAATTGACGTCTACTTCTTACATTGCAGTGCTTTTTGCAACCCTTGTTGCATTAGAATGGCTCACATCTTCACTTGCCATCACCCAAAACTACAATTATGTTCTCAAATTTCATTAACATCTTAAACACCACAAAAATAAGGTCAAATTCTAATATCACTAGATAAGTTTAAAGTGCAAGGGTCATACTAAATATTCTTGTAAAGTGCTAACTAAAAGAGAATGAGAAATCAAAAGCAGAAAAAAATAACATCCAATTTTTTGTGGTTCGATCAAATTGTCTAACAAACACAAATTAAGATTTCATTATATCAAATAAGGTGAATACAAAGTACAAAAGAGCGAAACTCAAACTCTACTAACAACATATTTGTAAAAACAAACAATCACTCTGCAATTAAACTTTAGAAAGTCTGAACCTATATTCAATAAATAATATAAACTCTTCAACTGGAGATTTGTTCAATAAAAATAACCTAATCTTAATTGATTTTGGCAAGATTAAAAACCCCCACTACAATCTTGGTTAGATTTAGATCCTCGTTATTACCTTAAGAGATGAATTTAAGGATACGAAAAATACTAACCTTAAGCCAAGCATAGGAATATGCAAAGATAATTGAGGGAAACATTTCAAGAATTTTATTAATAAATAATAAATTTGGTTTCTCCATATTACAAAAAGATACTTAAATACTACTCATAAAATTTGGCTAATTTAGGAAAAATAATATCGTAATTTATTTGCACTTAATAACTTTAAATCCAATCCAAACTAAAGAAGCACTAATTAATTTAGTCCAATCCCAAACAAATATGACTTCTAAAATAAACTGCCAAAAAGAAATAGGACTTCTTATAATAATAAAATACCTAAACAAAATAAATAAATAAAACAAATAAATAACTAAAATATTCGCTCCTAAAATATTTGGTCCGAACAAGGACTAAATATTCAACCCAATTAGAATAGGCCACGCTTTTGTGTCAACTTCCTCGCATTGAAGAAGACTCATGGTCGATGTTTTGGCTTTCTTCATCATCATGGTATGGTGAGATAAAGTTCAATTTGCACAAATTATAACATTAATCAAAGACAAGTTTTCCAGCAATGAAAATCCATACAATATCTCATCGTTTTTATTTTCGTTCGTCCACCATCAAAGTTCATTAGGAACCTCTTTAAGGTCAGCTGGCCAATAAGGGTAAGCATTATCATCATGCGATATTCTTACAGAATTCCTCCGGATTTCTCCTTCCATCTGGTAAGTTTTTTTATGCATCAAACCTATAAGCATGTGGAGACATAGGCTGATCTCCACTTGTCAATTCATCCTCTTGGGTTTTGTAAAGTTCCCATGCAGCAATGAACCATCTAGCATCTTTGAGCAAATAAGAGAATTGCTTCCTTAAGGAATCAATGGCTTTTAGAGCCCGCATATAAAAAAAATTCTTCCAACAGTGCGTATGACCAAATTGTTCTTTTTTTGCATTTTTCTAACCATTATAGACCCAAACAAGTGCAAGTTGATCACTGTAATCACGAGTAGAGAGCAGTACTCTTGCACATTCTGTAAGATCTTTTTCAATTTATCAAATGACATTAAGAATAGATCTCTAACACTAAGACAGGAAACAATAATCATTATTGGATCTAGGTAGTTAAAAATAGCCCCCAATATAAGCATTTTCTTAGGCTCAACTAGAAACGCTGGGAAATGACATCTAGCACTGTCAGATTTTCATTCTCATCTAAAGTCCCAATTACCTTCAAATATTCTACACCATTTTGAACTGATAGAGGCCCTAGTACGTGGCTATAATTATGCCTTTGATAGGAACTCTAATATACTTCCAAGTTTGAGACTTTAATTTGATTTGCATACACAAAGACCGCAAGGATGTCCTTAAAAGTTCTAGTAATTGATAGTCAGCAAAAGCATCATAAACACATCTTGGATAGAGATGACAATACTCCGCAGGTTAAGCACGACTAGCTCTTTCTTTTCATTTTTGTGTAGTAGCCTTTGAGATCCATGATGGAAACAAATAGGGAGTATTATTTAAAGCATCATATATTGCCTCCCTTGCTTTTTTCTTCCATCAACCACCAATACCACATCATTGATAGTAATACTAGTCTTAGCCATATTCGTAGCTATTACAAGTTCCTCACTCCATCTTCGAGCTTGTCAAATTAATCTCTACTCATAGATGGTCATAAAACTATGGTAGCCTAGTGATAATACTCTGTTAGGATCACTCAAGATAGGATGGGCTTGTAGTCGATCCTTTAAAGAGTTTATGTCATTCCGGCCATTCAATAAAAAAACTAAGGTTCCAAAGTGTATCCTGTATATATCTTGAGGAATTACCTAGGGAATCGATGTAAGCAGCATCAACTATGAGAGTGGACCTATCAACTATCTCAACAGTCACGAATTCATTTTTTTCTCTTTATAACCAACCTCAAGGTAAGAGGCTTTTTCTCATAGTGAGTTGTCTAGCTTGAGAAAACAGATGGAGGATCCATTCATGCTTGAGATAACAATCCAGTGATGTTGTCAATTACAACTTGAAGTGAAGGTACAAGATCACATGAGTTTTCTTATAATCCATCCTCATTAACTATCTTGAGAGGCTTTTGATAATTAAGAAAATTTACCTTGTTAAACATCTTTAATGATCTCTAGGAGGCACAATAGTTAGATGTTTTGTCAGTTTGACTTACTGCCTTGAAGAAGGAAGCTGGACAAGCGATCACTACTCTTAGAAGCTCCTTAGCACTTAATTACTGTTGATTATCTCACTTTACCATATCCATCAAAGTTGTCTCTAACTCCTCAACTCTAAGTATAATAGATCTTCTCTTTTTTTTTCTTTCTTTTTTTTTTCTTTCTTTCTAGCGGGCATGGTAACTTTGGCTACTGATGATGTTATAGATTAGAGACACTACTTTCTTAAGTAATTAATTGATTTTATCTTACATGCATGAAGAACAATTTCCTTTTATCCCTTTAGCAGCTATTGAACAATAGTATCTTTTACAAGTCCAAGAGGACCAATCATAGCCATGCCTTTAAGAGGCTACCAATACTCATTGGGCACCTCACTTCGCTCTTCATCAATGTCCCAGGTAGCTTTTCAAAAAAATCAAGGCAGCTTCTCTGTATCAGAAGGAATAACTTGAACAACCTGGGTATTATCCTTATTGGCGTCTTTGTCTAATCTTGTGCTGAGTTATGTGAAAAGGGTCAATAGCCATCTTGTCCATCTTAAAAAACGACCAACCCAGATATTCTTCTTCATAATTAATTATAACAGCAAGCTCTGCTGATGAGCTAGGGTCTGCAATAGTGCGGCTGGTGTTGTTGTAGCCTTCATCTCATCATTATCATAAACTTCTTCATTCAATTTAAAGTTTCATTCTAGTTGATTGGCAGCATCCCTCACTATGCTATTTTTCTTCACAAATTCCTTTAACTCTAAGCCATTGTCCATCACTACTCTAGGATTCAAGTTATTTTTAATGCTTTACTAAATAGTTATAGAGGGTTTGAGATTAATGTCATGACTAAAAGACACTTTTTCCATATTTCGACCACCTCATCCAGGAACTCTCCTTTTGATGCTGTTGTCTATATGGCTCCTCTTATGCATCCTGCTTCTCTTTTTTCTCTTGATCAACAAGGTATCTCAGTAAAAAATCTTGAAGCGATCCATCATATATAACAGAATTGATGTGATGACAAAGTCATTATTGGTTGCTTCATCAATTGGTAGATTGTAGGTTGGTCCAAATTGACAAGTAAATCATAATTCTCACATGCATCAAGCTGAAAGAGACCTTTATCAAATTTGGAAGTTGATTCTGATCCACAAAGAAATTAGAATCATAAAAAATTTCAGCTTCAAAATCATTTTTTCGTTGGTAGAATTTTTCTTCTCTAATTTCCTCCTCACCTTGAGATTGTTGGCCATATGCCTCTTGTGCCATCTTATCAACCTCTTCATTACTTTGCCTTAATCGTACCTTCATCTTAAGCTCTTCGTTCCTTTATCGTAAATGTGTAATCCTTTTCTCAAGTCTTTTTTGTTCACACTTTAAGTTGCAAATCTTCCACGAACATTTGATTTGGTGGTTTTTCCGGATGCAACTTTACTAATATTGTCAAGAATATGCAAAGAAGGCAAACCAAAACTCTAATACCAAATTGACTCTAGATTTGTGAAGACAAACAATCAATCTCTAATTAAACTCTAAAAAGTCAAAACTATGTCCAATAAATAAAATAACCTCTTAAATCCAAAATTTGTTCAATAAAAATAACTAAGCTCTATTAATTTTGGCGAGATTATAAACTCATTGCAACTTTAGCCAAACAATTTAGCTTTAAATGATTTTGGAGAGATTTAAAATCTCACTGCAGTTTTAGCTAATGATGATTGGTAACACCACCTTAAGAGATCTATTCAAAGATACCGAAAACATAAAAACCTTAAGCCAAACATAAGAATTTGCAAAGATAATTAAAAAGGAATGTCTTAAGAAATTTATTAATCAATAATCAAAATTATTTCTGCATAGTACATAAAAATGCTTAAATACTACTCATAAAATTCGGCTAATCTAAGAAGAATAATACCCTAACCTATTTGTACTCAATAACTTTAAATCCAATCCAAACTAAACAAGAATTAATTAATTTAGTCCAATCCCAAACAAATATGGATTTTAAAATAAACTTTCAATATAAATAGGACTCATTAGGATAATAAAATACGTAAACAAAAAAAATAATGAAAGTAAATGAATAACTAAAATATTCTGCTTAAATAAAGACTAAATATTCAGCCTAGTTGGAATAAGTCACAATGCACTATTATCTACTACTCCAAAACTTACATACACTTAAGTGTCATTTAGTTACTAGGAATGAAATAATCAAAATGAGAATGTAGAAATTAGAATGAAAATTAAGAAATCGAAATAACTTTAGCATTTTTATTTTATGTTGGAATGGTAATAAAGAATCATAATGCAATTTAAATTTTTTTAATATCTAGTTTTTAATATGAATAAGAATAATAATTAAAAATTTAATTTCATCAATTATGATGATAATAAAAATGATAGACGTAATTGTGGTAATAGAGGTAATGGTGGTGGTGGAATAGTAGGACAATGAGGAAGATATGGTAGTAATAATAGCAATAAAATATTTTTAAAAAATTAATACCATCACTATAAGATATGATAGTAAAAGAAGAGTGATGATAATAGTAATGATAGTATAATAAAAATGATAGTGATAGTTGAGAGGAGGTGACACGAATAATAATAATAATAATAATATTTTTATAATTGATGTCAATGGTTGTAGTAGTGGTGGTATAATAACAATGATGATAGTGGTTAAAAAGAAATAGTAATGAAATAATAATAATAATAGTTTTTTTTTTGTTTTTTTTATCACTATCGTCAATAAAAGCGATTAGTGCTGATGGTTGTAGTAATGGTAGATATAATAATAATCATAATAATTTTTTTTTATTATCAACATCAATGATTATAGTAGAAGTAATTGATACATAAAAAATAATATATCATTGTTTTGAAGAAAAAATTTCATTTACGTTCTTTATTTTTATTCTTACATTTTGTATGGGAATGAAACCATATTTAATTTTAATTTTTCATTCCTATTCTTATTTCATATTTTTTAACCAACAAAATGATAATAAAACTTTCAATTATATTCACACTAATTCGTTCTTTATAAGTAAACAACACCTCAAAGATAATAACAAATCTCTCCCAAAACTAAGTAAACAATAAAAAGCATAATACCAAAAGAGCATAAAAATCTTGATGGGTAATGGCTTAAGCACAAATGGATCTCTCAGTTCTTCCTTCAAAGCTCCCACGCAAGAGCTTCTTCTTTTTTCTTTTTTTCTTTTTTTCTTTTTTCGTGAATAAAATGGCTTTACACGTATGAAAGAACCTATCTCATTCTATTTGCACCAAGAAGAAACTAGCTTAAGTAAAGTAACGGCTTTTCAGCCCAAATCACTCGTGAGTCATATGACCACTTACGAAAAAAGAGCCAGTAAAGTATAGGAAGAAAGAAAAAAGAAACATTCTTATACACATTTTATTTACACTTACTTGGAATACCCACAAATGAATTATATAAGATCATAAGATCACGTATTAGATGTTTATTAATTAAGTCATAGCTGTACATATGTACCCGGCCAAAAAAAAAAAAGCTATACAACGTAATCTTACTCATCCTTTGCACAGGAAGGGAGGAGAAGTAGTGGGACAAGTTTCTTCGTGCTAATTTATAAAATAGCGGGAAAAAAAAAACAATAAACAAAATTAACGAAATCCTTGCTCAACATCATGATCAAGGTTACTGTTGATTAATGGCCAGCTAAAACTACAATGGGTAGTTTCTGATTGTTACAACTCATTGAGATTTTTATTGAAGTAGTAAGGTCAGATCTTAGAAAGGGTAAGTTGGGCTTCAGGATTCGGATAGGACTTTTCCACTCTGGAACTAATACCCATTGGGCTTCTCACTGAAGCGAATAAAAAAGAAACACTCGAGACTACAGACATTGTACTAACTTCTGATCTCTATACTGCAAGCAGAGCCTGAACCATCATACTTTAAAGATTCATTACTACAAATGTGGACTCGATCGGGCGCGCTGTTCGAAGCTCAAATTCGCAATCAACACCAGTTGCATCTTGATGAGATATTTATGGCTTGTACGCAGTAGTGCAGAATGCTCGGAGTCTAGCTAAATTTATTCTTGCAAAACGAGATCTCGGAGAACAAGTTTAAGAATGACAAGTTATTCCTAATGTTAAGATCAATTGTTGTGGAACAAAATCTTGTAGTTCTTCAAGCAGCTTAATAATTAGTATTCCAAATTTAGATTAGATCAAGAATCTGTCAGATAAAAGAAAAACCTGCTATGGACAACAAAATATCACATATCTTATGAAATATATTCTTCACACAAACAGAGTTAACCTAACTTCTTGATTACAAAACACTCCTCATTATATAGTCTAACGCTCATTGAGCCTTCCAATAAAAAGAAATTAAAAAAAAAAAAATCACCCAAAGAAATCTATTTTTAGCCACATCACCCGCATTAATAAACCTTGCCACCGAATATTCTCATCAAAAACTACAATTTATAAGCAGTCGATTTAGATCTATGTCTGGCTTTAGAAAATCTGAGAGCATAACTAGAAGGAACTTCTAAATCTCCACAAGAAACAATCCTTCATAAAATTTGAAGATATGCAACAGCAATTACAGTTACACAAACTCAGCAGCTTAGATCACACGAACAACATTTACAGCCACCAGCAGAAAGCTAAAAAAATGACAGAAGATTGCCATCTATATCATTTCTCAATATGCATATATATGTTCTATCCATACCTAAGAGATCAGAGGAACTAAACTATAATGACTTGGTCGAAACAAAAACTAATACTTCCTTCCTCCAGAGAGCTCACTCATCCATGAATTTTATTAGCCTGCAAAACACAAGCAAAGACAAGACAAAACGGTCAGTAAAACTAAACAGAAATGCTAGCCATGCACACATATACTAGCTGGAATCTTAATTAAAAACCCGTGAATTTGCACAAAAGGGCAAGTTCTCTATATGTTATCCCTTGTAACATCCTCATAATTATTTTCTTTTGGATTAGGCTCAATTTTTCATCTTTCACTTTCCATGAAATCGAAAAATTAAGAAATAGAGGTATAGTGTCACAAGAGCTCTATCATGTTACTTTTCACCCTGCAATCTTACTGGGCACTTAACAACTTAAATGATTAATTCGTACTTTGGTATTATACTTGGTCTTACTTGTTCTCCGTTGTTACCACCTCTAAAACCTTGGGGTGTATGAGATGTCTTGACAGTATCTTGATGAATCCAAGGCCTGCCATGAGAGTGACCCGGAGGAGGCGTAACTGACGAGTGAGTCTCTGGTCCTCTATAATCAATTTCATAAACTTCTGAATCAGCCACATCCGATCCTCCTATGGAAAAAATACATTACCAAATTGGTTAGTAAAAGTAACCCAAGTTCGATTTGCGGCTACACTTTGGAAAAATTCCTACTTGGTACTAAATTTTAGAACTTATAAAATATAATAATTACAAACCTCTTGAAATGTAAGGCGTGACAAGGAGGAGGAATAGAAGAAAGGCGGTGGTGATGCTGGACTTTAGCTCCATGGAATTCCAAAATATATTCGTTTGAGAGACAAATGGTCTTGTAAGAAGAGATATATAATTGATGTAATGACAGGATCACGGAAGAAGCACCAGGTAGAGGCAGTTGAGGTTGTATTTTCTTTTCTTTCAGCTTTTTAGGAAAACTGAAACCGTCACAATCGACACAGCAATAAGTTGCAAGGTAACGATGTAGAAGTGTTGGGTTGCAACATTTATGTTCGTGTGCCCATACCATATACCTAAACTTTAGGTTATTATTGTTTTTAAGTGTTTCCTCTCATCTCTTCCTTTTTCCTTTTTTCTTTTCTATGGCGTAGACAGCTCCATGTGTGTATTATTGTAATGTCCTATTGAGGGACATCCCATTTAAGCCCAATTGGCTGGATTTCACATTACTCACACCTACTCTTGTTATTTGTGTTTCTTTACGTTTATGAAGCACTAAGGCTAGTAATTTCTTAAATCATAGCTTCATACAAGTTTAAGGTGGAAGGTGAGCGTGATCAGTCATACTCTGTTGGTAGTATGTTTGCTGCTGGGAATTATAAAATGATCTGGTACAACTTTGACCCCTAAATACTAAGCCTTAAAATTGTAGAGTATAAGCAAAGAGCTTGTAATCCAGTGATAATAGTCTCTTACAATAAGAAGTCATGTATTCAAATTCTAATAGATTAATTCTGCTATGAGCCTTTGTAGGAATCATGGATGTGTGAGTAATAAATAAATAAGGAGCTTGTAGCCGAGTGGTAATTGCCGCTTGCAATAAAAAATCATAAATTCAAATTCTAACGGACTAATTTTGTTAAGAACTTTGAATGTATAAGTAAAAAATAAAATAAAATTGTGGAGCATAAGCCTATGTTCCATCGCTAACACAAGAGGGGGCCGGGAAGAGTTGGTGGTGGACAATGTAAAGCTCTTGAAAACCCTTCAAGTTCGAATTAGAGATTAGAGATTGAGAAATTAATAAAATTAAGGTACAGAAATACAGAGAATGTAGCTAGGTCAAGAGAACTCATTAGGAGTATTGTAAGTATCTAATCATAACAATTAACATGTGGTTCACCTTGTTCTCAAATTAGCAGCATTTACTTCGAAAGGAACTTACTAACTGTTCTAATATCAAACGCACCTTAACCTAAACCTAAAGAATTTTTTATTCTTGTAATGGGTGATCTATCATGTGGTGAATCTTGTCTATTTGTACTTTAATTTTTCATGAAGTTAATTTGGTAAGGTAAGATAACGTCAAACTTGGATGATGTATCACTTTTTTATTAGATTCCACAAATGTAACTTCAAGAGACATCTCTTTCGTAATGCATCAACAAATCTATATACATTGCCTCATTAGAGATTATATACAGTATGTATGCAGGTTGACTAATTAATCGGGTGCTGGATGAATTCCAATCTATAACCATTCTGCTTCTTTTGGTGGAGTGATGAATAAGTGATCAAGATTTAAATGCTATATCACGTATTTAGTACAAGTATTTTTTAGCCTGTGGGAAAGAAAGATTTCCCTCCCACTTATTGTTTGTGGGATATTATCAAGCTTACCAGACATGACACCCAAATTTTTCTTTCATGATGTCTTGAGGGACCTGTCTCCCAGTGCTCAACTACCTATCATGATAAAACATTTCACCTCCACGACTTCTTTAACTTTTATAACATCTGATCTTGACGGTATAATTAGCAATAATTTGGGAAATTAATTCTTAATTATACTCATGTAAATCATGTCTCAATGAAATCACTCTAAAGAGGAGATTTCTGATCCAATAACATTCCCTCTCCCTCTCTGCTTGGATCCAAATATCAATTCCATCAATAAATTAAACAAAATTAAGGGATAAGATCACTCTAAGAGTAATCAAGTCCATCAGCAAATTGGAATGGCAAATAGATTGGATCTTGTAAATGACATTATCTTTAACAACTGTTTTAGACAGTTGAGGATGCACATCAATGACAGGTTGGGCTTTTACTAAGAAAAAAGGGTTTGACTCTTCTTTCCTCGACCAAAAAAGCAAAAAATGAAAAAAAGAAAAAGAAAAAGGAAAAAAGAAAGCCCCTATTAAGAGAATATCAGCAGATCTTTGTCAACACCAATTTTTTTTTTGCCCCTTCAGAAATTTAGGGGAAAATTAAGGCTAAAAGGTGCTCAACCTCGTTGAAGTTTTGATCATCGTACAATTAGTCCTCAACAAATTTTTTAGTCCAATTATTTCCTAAGGGGCTATTTGGAATCATTTTCATTTTCTATTTTCTGATTTTGTTGTCAAATTTTTGAAAAGGAGATATAAAAACTCGTTTGTTTTCTTTTTTTAATTAAAAAGAAATTGACAAATTTTAAAAACTTAAAAAATATATAATTTTAAAAGTTCTCAAAACTAGTTTTTTACAATATCTCCAAGTATTTTTTGAGTTAGATTGGATTTGAAAATCGAGAAATGGGTGTGGATTGTACCAAAAGTCCAAGCCATAACTTGGTTTGAGGAGCCCACGATTTGGATTTGGATCCGATTTAGGGCGCCCAAGATTCGAGTTAGGACTTGACCTAGGAAGTCTTAAGTTTGGATTAAGACATGTGTCGAGGTTCGAGATGCCCAAGGTTCGAGTCGAGATTGGGTTAGAGATGCCTAGAGGATGGTCTAACATCGAGTTCGAGAGGCTCGGAGTACTATCCAGTGTCCGGTCTAGGACGTCATGGGGTTAGGTTGAAAAGTGTTCTAGAACCCTTTGAGGCTTAGGTTGGAACCGAGTCTAGGACCTCTATAGGTTGGTCCGAGATCGACTCCAAGGAGCCCGAGGTTTGATCTAGAACCAAGTTGAGGGGCTTAGAGGTCTAGGTCCGGGACGCCCAAGGTTTGAGTCGGAACTCGATCTCGAGTTCCCTCAATGTTAGTACGGGATTGAATCTAGGCAATTGGGGTGCGATCTAGGACCGGTGTCGGCCTGGTTGTCGGGACGAGACCAAGTTTGAGTCGCGACTAAGTTTGAATTGCTTGAAGTTAAGACCAAGACTCGGGTTCAAGAGTTCAAAAATTGAGTCTAAGTCAATTAGAATCAAGTCTTAATAACTTGAGTATCCAATTGAAATTAAGTGCATTTAAAAAAAAAAACCTAAAATTAAAAAACTAGCCAAACAAACAAATTTTCAATTTTTTTCAAAAAACTTAAAAAAAAAAAAATAGCACCAAATGGTCTCTAAACTTTTTTATGGAGTTTATAATCGAGTCATGTTAGTTTTTATGGAGCTTCAACCACGACTTAACATAATTATGCATGTGAAAATTTAATGACCTTGTTTATATATAAAAAAAAATGGTTAAAATAATTATTTTTAATATCAAAAACATTTCTTTATGTTTTACTTTTGATTTATGCCAACAAAACCTTTTATTAACAATATTCTTGTGATTTCTACATCCATAATTTCATTGACATATAGATTGAATTGAACGAAAGCTAATGAGGTACTCCATTAAAAAAAAAAGTCCAGGGACAAATAGTTTTGAATTTTTTATTCAAGGACTAACATCAATTTAAAGCCAAAAATTAGTTGATTAATTAATTTGATCCAATGAGGTACATATCATTTTCATGGAAATTATAAGTGGGCCTAATGTGTTGTGACATTAGTTGGATGGATATGGTTAAGGATAGGCATCATTAATATGTATTTCGAAAGATAAAAAGGCTAAATGTAAGAGTCATACGAGTTTGCAATCATTGAAATATTTTTGTGGCCGGTTCCAATTAAGAATTAATCGGTCAAAAAAGTATACGTGGATTCCACTAAACCTGTGCTTAATTGCAATTGTCATGTCATCTACAATGGATCCCCTATCATGGAAATCATATGATATGGAAGTGACAAAAGAGAGATGCAATTTTGACGTATATATATGTTGCTTCATTATTCATATGAATTGATGAGAAACTACATTTAATTTATTAATCTTGCATAATCAATTTATACTCATGATGTGAAATCCGCACGAAAAGTGTGTAGTTACACCCTTCTTTTGAAGAAAGATAATAACTTTATTGATAATTAATAGAAATACCATGTATCATTAATTATCTTTAAAATATTAGTTGTATTAATCTTTTATATATATATATACTGCATTGACTTATAGAATAACATTATTTTTAGGATCGTGAGATTAACTAATTTGTCAAACTCAAAATCACGTTCGTGGACTAGCAATTTGCCCCCAAAAGTTAATAATGATTAAACGTACAGTTCTTATTAGTGGATGATCCTAGTAATTCAATTCTTTTAAACAACTTAAATTCTTACAAACAACAAGAAATCAAATAACCACCCATCCATTATTTATTCACAGAATATCAAATCCATTATATGTAATGACCAGTTTTTTAGTTTAAACAACATCATGATAATGATAGAGGAGATCAAATTAATACAATGAATGCAATTATAAGAAGGCAAATGATTTATTGAAGTAAAGAGACAAAGAATACACAGTATAAAGGTCTATGGAACTGTTCAGATACACGTAATTGGATGGTAGTGCATATATGTCGTTACGAAATTATAATTAAGATACTGACAGCCATACGAAGATAGGTAACAAGTGGCTATGACTATGGAAGAATTTAATACTAACAAAGAACACAAACCTTTGTCCATTATGTATGCCGTCAAGAGAAAAAAGAAACAAGAGAATCACTGAAGATTTGAGACACAAGAAAATTATGCACTAAGAGACGACCGTGTAACACTCAAAAGAAAGTCATTTTATTTAGCATATGTAATTCATATGGAAAACAGTGAACTCATCAAGTTATAAGTTTTATCTTGATAATCCCGTAAGGTTATACATCTTATTACTTTCTTCAGTCTCATACTCCTTGACATTTGTTTTTATAAGACTATTGACCATATATCAAGCAACTAAAAAGCAATGGGGTTACCATATCATACAAACACGATGATGGATAACAAGTCATATTTT